GTTTCACTTTCACAGTGGTTTTGCAGTCATGTTTATTTATCCCAAACAGGCAATGTACCAGCTCAGCTGTAGCTGTTAGTACAAATCCATTGTAGGTGTAACTTGAAAACAAAAAAACCTCCAAGTGTAACGTAACGGTAATTCAAGTTGGAATTCCAAGTTGAATACTTTGGGAAAGATCTGTCTAGCCCGAGTTTGCAGTGAACAGAAGCAGAAAGACCTTTGCCTGTTTGTGTTGCGAGCATGTGGTACTAGCCTACTTCTCTCGTCTCTTTTAAAGTGTGTTAATCTGTTGAATCGACTGTTCTAGTGGGTCTCTGCTTGTGCTACGTGACCCGCCATCGAACGTGATTGCCCACGCCTACTCTAGGTGTATAGTAACAGAAAATGTTGTAAAATCAAGTTACAGTGTTCACAGACAGAAACATGAATCTGTGGTAATAGATATACAGTAAATGCCTTTGCAGGTGAGAGACTTTCTAGACAAACATCAGTTTGCTGCAGGCGTCTATGTTTTCCAGAACTGATGCCCTGGGGTGAATTAAAATCAGAAGTTGGAACTATAGATCCCGACTGATACTGATTACCAAAATGAAAATATGAATGAATGTGAATTTTAGAGCTGGAATGAAAAAATTACTATGCAAAGGTTTTTTTTTCTGCCTTACATACCGAAAAAACATTAATTGACATATACGCAGATTCGATACCGATATGTCTGCAATAGGCCGATATATCGGTCAGGTTGGAACTATCGTCGTCCGACTTGCAAAGGGGAGCAGTGTTACACCCTGACCTTGTGTGAGCGAACTGAGGCTGTTTGTTCGACAGTGGATCAACAACAGTTCTTTCTGTTACTTTTCTTCAGACCGCTCTTGTTTTTCTTCTTGCCTTTGTTAGTTCATGAAGTCATTCAACCTCTACATAAACCAATTTGTTAGGACTTAGGAGTGTTAACCACAAACTCAAAAATACATATTTTTCCTCTGACCTGTATATGCATCTAGATTGTTTTGGGGTGAATTGCTGCGTAGCACTGCTGCAGGTAGAGAGTTCCTACATGAAACTGCCACCGATAATGTCTGTGGATTATCTTGGGTACCTGAGTCATGATTTATAGACTTTCCTACTTATGAAAGGTCTTTAGACATTTCATAAGTACGATAGATGTTTATATTTGTTATATCTTTTCTAAGATTGTATAAAGTTGGACTTTTTTTTCAGCCTGTGCTGAATGAGTCTAATCAATGGAGGGTTTTTAAGATAATGTGAGTCTGTTCAGTTTGATGAATACGCACCTGACGTGGATATGTTACTACTAATAAAGCTTTTTGCTCTATCCTGTGTGCTCCAGTATACTTTGGACTGTATTTGTTTGCCGCTTTGAGCACCACAAGAGTGCAATCTAGTTCCATTATATTTGAGAAAAGGCAGACATCTCTACGGCCGATATCTGCAAACCAAAACAACCCAGACAGATAAATAGCACTATAGTTTTGGTGTGAACTGTTCCTTTAACTTGTGCTTCACATCTGTCCATTTCACTTGTGTCTGTCTATTGAGTTTGTATTCTTCCTCTAAAACTTGCTTCATTCGATCTGAACACCTTTAGCTGTTGTTTGAGATGAATGCTAACTGTTGTCATTTTTGTAGCAACGTTATAACATATTTGTATGTAATAGTGTCAGTATTTTAGCTTGTTTGTAACATGATCATCATCTAACTAATGTGTGCTATGCAAACACTAGCAGTGAAGTCAGATATGCTATTTTTTGCCCCAATATTGACATGAATAACAAAGTTGTGTCTCCACTTTTAATCCCTCCAACTATTTTCTGTTGTGCAATGAGCATGGCAGCCTCGTGGGGCTGCTAGCATCGCCTTTTTTTCTGTGTTTATTCATTCAGTCATCACTTTTAAAAAAGATTCCTAAAGGGAGTTAAATGTCTTAATTTGTATTTAGGGCTGTTGAGTGCCTCACCCTGCAATCCCCTGCTGTCCAGGGCAGCAGAGGTCAGAGGTGAAGGGTGAAAGGTTACTGTCAGAAACCTTCGCTCCCCCACCTCACCACTGTCCCCAAAGCAGACAGAGCTGACTAGCAGAGAGACAGAGTGATGGATGGAGGGTTAAACACACACACACACACACACACACACACACACACACACACACACACACACAGCTCCAACCACACACCCAGCCTCCCCGTCATTGCCATTAACCCTCCTCCTCCTCCTCTTTCTACTCCCCCCCCTCCACTCCCCCCCAGCTCCCACCCCCCACCCTCTGTGGAGTGTGAGCCAAGAAGGAGGAGGGATGAAGAATGAAGAGAGAAAAGAAAACGACAGAGAGCACAGTTTGAGAGAGAGAGAAGGGACAGCTAAGGAGAGAAAATGGAAAGATAAAAAGAGTGACAGAGAAGGGAGAGGAGAGGAGGAGAAGGAGGAGGTAAGATGGAGAGGGTGATAGATGAAGAGGGAGGGGAAGGAGGGGGAGGGGGGAGGCGGTGGATGGAGAGGGGAAGAGGAGGGGGGAGTGGATAGAAAAGAGGTCACGTGACCACGTAGCAGCTGCAAGGCTGAGAGGGAGAGAGAGAAAGAGTCTCACAGAGGAGCAGAAAGACGACGAGCAGGGAGCGGGAGGGTGAGTGTGTCTGTTTGCATGTTTGAATTATGTGCACATGCATATGTTAGTATGTGTTTGTGTGTGTGAATGACATGGATAAATATCAGAGGAAATAGCCTGTGAGGAAAGATTGTAGGAAATAAAAGGAAGAAAGAAAGCAAGGAACAGAGAAGAGATTATGTGTGTTGGCTTTTGTTAAATAAGCTCCAGTATGCTGAGATAAACGAGAGACAGAGAGGGGAAGGAAAGAGTGAGTGAGTACTGAGGAGGGAGGAAGAGAAATAGTCGATAGAAACTGTCTTATCATCTCTCCCTTGACTGCTGGGCTCAGAGATATAGATCACACACACACACACACACACACACACACACACATTCACACACACATAGCCTGTCAGTATCAGAGCTTTTACTCCTCTTCATCTCTCGTTCCCTTTCTGCTTGTTTCAATTTCAATTTGCTTCATCGGCATGACATGTAAATACATTAAGTGTAGCCAAAGACATAAAGGAAAATAGTGGAAATGAAAGAAATTAGAAGTAATACTGGAAACGTGAACATTAAAGAAAAGCATACATCTTACGTGCCTCATTGTACGTGTCTGAAGCTGCGTGCGTGTTAATTGTATAGATTACATTCGACCTGTCAGAGCAGTTAGATGTAGGTTGATAGGTTATGTGTTATCTATCTGTTTCTTTGTGGGAGCTTGTGATAAACTGAGGGAAAAAGAGGCTTTTCATCAACTTGCAGGGGCACAAAAACCTGGAATAGCTTTTACAAAACTTTGTAGTGTTTAACTCTGATGGTAAATTTTCAAAACACGCAGAAGGAAAACGTCCTGGTTGTCTGACAGCCTACATGATTTCATATAGCAGCCTCCGTCAATCTCCACTTTCGTGTTCACTTACTTTGTAAGAGATTTGGCTCGTGTTCAGTGTCTCTCCCTCGCTCTCTCTTCCCCTTCATATATCTTCTTCTCTCACTGTTCATCGCTCTACAGCTTCCTGCTGCCTGTTTTTACTCACATGTGTGAAAGCTGGCAGGCAGAAGGCAGACATCTAATCTGACATCTGTGAATACGAGATTTACGTTACTTTCAGTGAACAAACTCCAGATCCGATCGCCCCCTTTATTCTTTCTTCACAATCATTTGCGCGTTGGTGCGTTGCACAGATAAATTTTTTATGAGTGTGTTTACTGCTCTGGTTGTTTGTTTGCTCTTCCTGTGGCATATGTGTGTGTGTGTGTGTTTGAAAGTGTGTGTTGTGGTGGTAATGAGGTCATTGCTGTAGCAGGCAGGGGGGGCTGTTGGCTAATTCCAGCTGTAATTAACATTAGTGGGTCAGTAAGAGGGTAGAGGGTGAAGACAAGGTTACTCTAACCATGTTTGCTCCACGTATGTCCACTGTTCAGCGGATCGATGGGTCTGCTCCTTATCTACGTGTGTGGCTGTGTGTGTGTGTGTGTTTATTGGTGTGTGTACGTGCTTGCATCTGTGTGCTGGAGTAAAACTGCAGTGATACTTAATAATGTTTGCGTGTAGACACTCCCGGCTTTCTTTAAGATGTGTTGGCTGGCTCCCTTGAGGAAATGGACATGTGTGCGCTCATGTGTGTGATTTGCTATTAGGGTCACCGCTCTATTTGACACAGCTCTACTCCCTCCACTCTGTCTCTAGTGGAGTTGACCCACGCGAATACACTCACTATGATGTCCAGACACAAAGGCAGACACACAAACACACACACACACACACACACACACACACACACACACACACACACAAACAGACACTTGTCTGTTTCCTTTGAGTAAATGTGTATGATGAGTCTCATTCAAGATAAATGAGTTTACCAGCTGTGTTCAAAAACCGATGCATTATCTTACAAAATGATTCAAAGCTATATGTTTTGTCTCCTCAGTTGACAAAAGAATCGCATACTTTTTCTAACTGGATTGTCTGTGTTTTATTTAGCATATGGCTGCAACTACTCTCTACTCTACTCTATTTTCATTATTGATGAGTCACAGTTGATCAAATCGATTAGTTGAATGTGAGGAATAATGTTGATTACTGTTTCCAGAAAGCCCAAGCTGATGTTCTCAAATGTCTTGTTTTGTCCACAACCCAAAGATATATTCAGTTTGCTGTCAAAAGAAACCAAAAAATATTCACATTTCACATTTGAGAAGCTAAAATCAGAGAATTTTGACCTTTTTTCTGACTCAAAATGATAAATCGATCATCAAAATACTTGGAAATTAATTTAATAGTCGACAACTAATCAATTAATCCTTGCAGCTCGAATTTAAAGATGGAATTTTTTTCCATATATAAAAGCTCCTCACACAATTCTTCCAACTCTTCTCCTCAGGTATGAACCATGACTCCAATAAATCACCATCATTAGGAATGATCTCCACGGCAACTCGCACCACGGCTACTGTCAGTCCCCTCAGCCCACTAACCAATGGGAACGCAGTTGCCCAATCTGCAAACTCCGGATTCGCTGCTGCTCTGCGTAAACTGGCCAAACAGGCCGAGGATCCCAGAGGTGAGCGGTGATCTAACTTCTTTTTAACACACACAGCTCCAGTGGCTCCGGGCCCCCCCGGGGATCTAACATGGTCCTGAACACACACACACACACACACACACGTACAGCAGACTCTTCTTTGTTGGTCACACCCAAAAACAACCTCCTCTACTGCGGCTGTCAGGTTTATTCAACATCCCTTACTGCATCTGCACAGTTTCATTGTCACCTCTGAACCATGACGCTGAGACGTGAAGGAGAAGGTCAGAATGAAAGGCTTATTTCCATTTCATATGGAGGAAAGGGAATAAACTGTAATTTTTCACTTGATTAAACAAACGAGTTATACCATGTTAATCAGTGAGATTGAGAGGTGTGGCCACGCTAGCTGTTTCCAGCCTTTATCCTAAGCTAACCAGCTGCCGGTAATAGCTACATATTTACAGCACCGACATGAGATCCAAAAACAAAATAAGCATATTTTTCCCCCAAACTATACATTTTTTAAAGATGTGACCAACGTATTTATAGAGAGTGTATTGCAACACGGCACCAGTGACTGTTGTAAAGTGTCGTTTCACAGACCAAGGTTGTGTTTTGTGGATTTATGAGAAACGTTTTGCTGCCTAGTATCTCTTTAGTTGTGTGTGTGTGTGTGTGTGTGTGTGTGTGTGTGTGTGTGTGTGTGTGTGTGTGTGTGTGTGTGTGTGTGTGTGTGTGTGTGTGTCCTCACTCATTGGCTCATTGGTGTCCTAATGAAGGTGTTGAATAAGAGCTGACCTATTCTGACCTCTCCCTCTCTGCCTCTTCCTTCATCCGTTTCCATTCATCTCCTAATAATGAGAATCTAATCACAGTCAATTATAACAAGCTCTCTCTCTCTCTCTCTCTCTCTTCCACTCTCTATCACCATCTCATTTTTCTCTCTCTCTCTCTCTCTCTCAGGCTTTCTCCCTGTAGCTCTTTCTCTACCTTAAGGCTCTTCATCTCATTATTATTTCCTCCTTCTTAGCGTCTCTGAATGTGTTTGTGTTTCCGTGTGTCTACTGATTAGAGAGTGTTAGAGTAATAGAGTGATGGTAGAGTTAATGTTACACACCATACACACATACTCTCTCTCTCTTTATTACATTTAACACCACCCCCTTCCCTCTGTCGCACCCCAGCCTCTTTTTCACACCTTCATTTATGACATCCTTCTTTCGTTCTCTGTATAACTGATTTTTGTCTTTTTTTGTCAGCGTCACACACAAACACACACACACATTTTCATCTTGTACCATTTTCCCATTTCTTCTACCTTATGTATCTTTTTTACAATTTCCTTTATTTCTGTCACATTTTGCCAGAATGCTTTTCATCAAAATGATTGAATCGCTGTTTACCTCGTTGCAGGCCAGCACACTGACAAAGAAAATTTAGTTTTCCTTTTTTCGTGTACCATCTGTATTATGTCACGGGGGGGACTGTTTGATCCTGAAATCTTTTTAATCTGATGAGCCGTCTGATAGTTGCAGTTTATTCCCCCCTCCCCCGCTGTCATTAACCCCGTCTCTCCCCTCCTCAGGTTCTGCCATCAGTGGTGAATCGTCTCCAGTCTCTTCCCCGGCCACCAGCCACAGTTCGCCGGTCACCACACCTAAGCGGGGCTCATTAGGGCCCCTCCTGGGCCAGACCAGGGGTCACGGTGTCCCCGGCACCCCTCCGGTAGTCACCATTGCCCCCACCAAGACCAGCAACGGCCTGTGGAGGGCCGACGGACGACAGGTAAGATGCGTCGTTTATCAAACCGCTGTACCTGCTGGCGTTCCAGACAAGTTTGAGAGAAGACATCTGCTGTTCTCGCTCTGTGCATCTGTACTTTCTGTTCCTCTGTCTTTCTTCTTTCTCTCTCTCTCTTGTTCTCTCTCTCAGCACAGATGAGTCGTCTACCTACTTTCTGTCTCTGTCCTGGTGAAGCTCCCTCCATTAAAGAAATAGTCCCAGTGCTTGTCACCATCAAACTATCAAAACCAGCCATCCCTCCATTTTTTTTCTTTTTCCCCCCTCACTCTGTTTTGTCTCATTCTTTCATTTTCATTCTTTCACCCCTTCGCCTCACCCCCTTCTGCCTCTCGCTAATCAGTCCATGTCTTTTTCAGCAACACATGAAGGGTTTGTAAAGAAACACTGGAGGCTGCAGAGACTGGCACCTATTGTGTTCAGCTTCCTGCAGTGTTTGTGTGTGTGTGTGTGCGCATATGTGTGTGTGTACTTGACCCTTCACCACAAAAGGCTTAGGATGTGAAGAGGGACCCTGTGTGTATGTATATGTGTGTGTGTGTGTGTGTGTGTGTGTGTGTGTGTGTGTGTGTGTGTGTGTGTGTGTGTGTGTGTGTGTGTGTGTGTGTGTGTGTTTGCTTGTGGGTGTGTGACTGAATTTAAGGTGGGGTGAGGAACCAGGCCCCTCACACAATGCAGGGGTTAGCCCCCACAGTAGCCACTTCCCCCTGGATCAGAGCTGCCTTTCTCCCCCTTCACAAAGACCACTCTGTGGCTCTGCCTGCCCGGGGCTCCCATTCAGACATTCAGAGAGAAAGAAGGGGAGGGAGGGAGGCAGGAAAATAGGATGTTAAGAAATGAGGGGAGGGAGCGTAAGAATGAGCAGGAGAGCAACAGAGAGAGGGAGAGAGAGAGAGAGAGAGAGAGCTCTAAAGCTTAATGTAGATTCAGTATTTGTCCTTACTGTGTGCAGCTTGTCCTAGAACAGAGAAAGACAGAGGAAAGGATGATTAAGGCAAAAGCAACAGACAGAGCATGTTTATTGCTGTTTATTGCTGCATCTGTACAGGCCATTGGCTGTCTGCGGGGTCAGAAGTCGAAGAATGTGATGGCTGCTCTCCAGACCCTCTGTGTATTCTTCATTTTGAAACACTGGAGATTGCTGAATGACACTGTATATGTACAATATATCTGTAATTCACCCCCAGCTCTGTGTGTATTTGTATATATACATATATATATATACAGAGAGAGAGAGAGAGAGAGAGAGAGAGAGAGAGAGAGAGAGAGGATTCATCTCTGGTTTGAATCTGCTTTCCATGAGTGCCACATTCAAAACTATTCAAACGCATTCAAAGCACAGATATTTTACTGCAGGTTAAGTGTTGTACCAAACTAAGGTAGCAGATCGGGTGTTGCTGGGAGAGGTCATTTGGTTGTGGTTTGTTTGTGGTCTGTTTGACCTCTGTTGCTGTAGCAACACGATTTGACATATTATAATGGAAATAGTATGTCTTCTTCTCATTAACACACTCCAGTCAAATATTTCCTGGTAGATATTTCTTCTTTATTGAGGGTCAACAAAGACTTTTCCCCTTATGTTATGTACAATATAATGCAATGTTGACTCGATGGTGGTCGATCCACCACTTCCTGACTAAAAAAACACAACTTTTGGATGAATTGTCATTAAATTTGTTATTCAAGATGCCCAGAGGAGGAATCGTAATGACTTTGGTGATCCCCTGACTTTTCATCTAACCCCACCATCAAGTCAAAATGTTATTTGGTCCCAAACTTTGGTTTATGACCAAATGCCTGCAAAACTACACACGGACACTATATGACATTCCCCTCAGTCTCAGCTCAGGTGTTCGCAGTGCTAAATAACAAATGTCAGCATGCTAACAAGCTAAACTAAGATGTTGAACATGATAAACATTACAATTGCTCAACACCAGCATGTTATTATTGTCACTGGCAGGTGTTAGCATTCTGATGTTATCATGTAGCTCAAAGCGCAGCCTAAGTAGCCTCACAGAGCTAATATGGCTGTTTGAAGATGATCTTTTTGCATTTAGATGAAATGTTTGGAGAGAGAGTGGAATAATGACACCCAACATGTTAAGCTCCAGAACACAGACACATGATATTCGTCCTCGACCAACTGTGTCACTATTTTACTGTAAATTCGTATCTAAGTTTGGGATCTTTTGTCATTTGTTTTTCCCCCCATAACTGCTTTTGTTACAGTGGTGATTTGAGGGTTAGAATTTTACTATAATTAATCAAGGATCAAATGCATCCTTGTGGCAAAAAAAATAATAAAAAATCCTCCGAGTGGAGAAGCTCTTGAGTGAGTGATGAAGGAGAGAGCAGTTGGCCAGATATTAGGATCATATTTCCACTTTGATCTTGACTTGTTATGACATATCAGACCCACTTCTCCACTCCGCTGAGCCTCTGGGTGCAGCTCAGGGGGGGTTTTACACAGTCGCATTTCCCTCTCCTCTTTTCTTGAACTTTTTTTTCTTGCTCAGTTTCAATCTAGCACACACTCAGACCCCATGGATATACATAGTGATGTCTGCTCTCACACTGCCTGGCTGTCTGTCTGTCTGTCTCCCTGTCAGGTAGAGCCGAGTGTTCAGGGACTCGGTAGGGAGCGGGTGGGTGCTGAGAACGCCCAGTCACAGCAGGATAAGAGGACCCCTCCCACCCATTCACCTCACCACCTGGCTCACCACTTTGGCCTCACCCCCAGCTCCGTCATGCAAGACCCCAGATTACAGAGCCTTAGGTAAGTGCAACACAAGACTCATAGCTGGTGAGCCAGTGTTTGTATAAGAGTAAACCTTTTGATTATAACCCCTAAAAATGGGCACAAATGTTCACTTGGACTTGAGGATTAATTTATTAGATTTTTGGTGGTCAGAGGTCACCGTGACCTCAAAATGACCTTGACAAACGCATTTTTTGTCATAACTCAAGGACTGATGCGGTAATTATGAGAAAATTTCACACAGATGTTTAATGGGCTACAACAATGACAGTTTTTACCCAAAAGGTCAAAGGTCCACAGCGTCATAATGTCCTTGAAAAACACATTTTTGGCCATTATTCAACACCATAACTCGGGAACAGAAGGGGAGGTTTTGACCTCGAAAACAGTTTTTAGCCACATTTTAAGAATGAATTGGGTGATTCATAGTTCGAGCTCTCATTTTTCCATCACATCCATTCTGCCTTTCACTTCCTGTCTCAATTTGAGTGTCATTGGAATCACGTGATAGCAAACAGCGTACTGGAGCACGCCTAGCTAATCATGATCCTGTGACTGAGTGAGTGACTTTGACCTTTGGCTCATAGGAAGGTTTCTAAAAATGCCTGAAGAAAACACTCTATAAGAATCCATCTTTACATAGTAATCAAGTACAAGTGTGTCTGTGTAGCCAATGCATCTATAATAATCATTATAGTTAATGTATCAATTAAGTTATAATAAATCAGGTCAAAAATTTATATTCCCTAAAATCAGGGTTAGAGATACATGGGAGCCAGTGGGAGCTAATGCATTTTTCAATGTAATGAGTATTACTTCTGGTAGTTAACTACTACTCCATTAGACTCTGTATTGACTGCTTGCTTGGATTTGGCTTGTAAAACGATGCACCCTCCCATTAGTGGGGCACTACATAGTGCACGTACTTTCATATGATACCAAAAAGGGCAGAATTGTGTTCTGCCTTTGAGTAATTACAATCTACTTGTTGTTGCAAGTAGTGGGCTGTTGTTGTAAAGGTTTTGGACGATGTAATAAGCAGTGAAGTCACCTGAAAGTCTTCACTACAGACAGTCTAGTATTTATTAAATGTCTGGACCGACATGGATGTATCACTGCAACTTGAACTGCAAGGCGGTAATTCCAGTTAGATTAATGTTGTGTGCACTCGTTTTGCAGTTTGCCTGGGCAGATGCACCCTGTTGTTCAGTCGGGCGCCGTCCCAGAGGAGTACCTGAGAGCGCTCCGGCCCTTCGCCACCTCAGATGACCTCCGACTGGCCTCTCTGCCCCTGAGTCTCGACCCTGCTGCCGCTGCCCACGCTGCAGCTGCTGCTGCTTACTATCATCCTGCCTACCTGCACCACCCGCTGTCCTTACCAAGGTAACATTACCATCTTAAACTCTTAATTCTTAACCTCAATTCAGATGTTATCTAGTCATCCACAGAATATCAATTTGAATTCTAATCAAGACCAGACATGAAGAGGTTTACATTTGATTGAATCTGATTAAGGGGACAACTAAGGGGTACTTTGGGAACATTGGGGTAAAGTTATAAACGTCTTTATACCTGATCTACACTTGGCCTGTGAAGATATAGTCTGACTGGTTTGTTTCTGTCTGTCTGTCACAGGATGGAGGAGTCTCTGTGTCTTTCTGCACTACGGTCGCAGTTCTATTCTGTGCCTGCAGGGGGCGCCTTCTCTCCTCTCCACCCCTCTGCCCTCCACTTGCACCTGCCTGGAGGTCGCTACCCTGGGGAACTAAACCACACAGCGTTGGCTGAGAGGTAACACACACACACACACACACACACACACACACACACACACAAACACACACACACACACACAAATGCATGCTTTTCTTTCTTTCTTTCTTTCTTTCTTTTTTCTTTCTTTCTTTCTTTCTCTCTCTTCCTTTCTCTCTCTCTCTCTCTCTCTCTCTCTCTCTCTTCTCTCTCTCTCTCTCCTCTGTCTGCAGCACTGTGTAATCTCTCTCTGCAGGGTAGGCACAGGTTGCTGAGTGTGTGATATTTTTAGCACACACCCCACCGTGCCTCCTATACACTCATCACACACACTGCCCTTCACACACACACACACACATGCATATGCAAGTCAGTTCACACACAAAATCTCACACACATGCACATTAGGAAGTCTTTCTTCACCCCCCCCTTTCTTTCACTGCATTTTCTTTCAGTACTTTGAGCTCCTTTCTCAGTTTCACAATACGCATTGTTTCCCTGTGGCATAATGCTCAGGGGAAATGTTTGTGTTTGAAATGGATGGTATTTATCGTCTAGTTCTGTAATGGCTTCTGCGTATCCTGTATGTTTGTTTGTGTGCTATTGATTGCTGGTGAATGCGTTGTGTGTGTGTGTGTGTGTGTGTGTGTGTGTGTGTGTGTGTGTGTGTGTGTGTTTGTGTGTGTGCGTCCTTTTCCTGTGGATACCTATTAAGTGTTCATCTGCTCTTGCTCAGTCATGCTGTGTATGGATTATTTTCCTCATGGTAAGTGGAGAGTGTGTGTGCATATTTGTGTGTGTTTCTGCGAGTGTGTGTATGTTTGAGCAGAAATGTTTGTGTGAGGTTCACCAGTGTGTGGTTAATATCTGCCTCATGTTGGGTGTTGCATCTCTCACCTTCTCCCCCTGTGGTGTGTGTGTGTGTGTGTGTGTGTGTGTGTGTGTGCATACTTGTCAACCTCCCCCACAGGCTACAGATGGAGAATGAGCTCCGCCAGCGAGAGAGACAGCAAGAGCGTGAACGAGAGAAAGAAAGGGAGCGCGAGGCAGGGCTGGAACGGGAGCGCGAGCGCGAGAGGGAGAGAGAGAGGGAGGAGGAGAGGGGGAGAGAGCGGGAGAGAGAGCTGGACAGACAGAAGGAGAGGCAGAGGGAGAGGCAGCAGCAGATGGTCAGAGCGGCAGAGAGCCACTACCTGGCTGAGCTGCAGGCTCGGAGGGCACCACCCGAGGACAGGGGCAGGCCAGGAGAGAGGCTGACCCCGAACAGACTGGGTACCTACACACGAACACACACCATGCATGTGCACTTGCGTATTATAGAACAGTTGAAGTAGTAATTCTTGGTTTTCCAAACTCTGTTTCTCCAGATAAAACCAAGGAATCAGAGCATCCAGGTTTCCAGGCACCCAAACCTCTCTCCCTGCAGCCTGGCCTTCACTCCTCCAGGGGGTCTATCCCACACGCAGTGCCCAGCCTGGTACCTTCTCACCTGGGGAAGCATTCTGCTGCTGCTGCTGGGGGGATCCATGGAGCTCTGGCGGCTGCCATGATGACACAGAGGGTGAACGAGGCAGCATGGTTGAGCCGGCAACGAGGGCAAGGGCAAGAGAGGGAGGGTCCGCTGGAGATGGGACTCAGGTCACCTGGGAAAGGGGTGGAGTCGAGGAGAGACATCCACAGGTGAAAATGCCAAAAGAGTTTTAAAAAAAAAAGATTTATACGTCTGCAGTGTCACTCAGTGTGGTAATATTTGATTTTTTCTTTCATTTTTCTTAAATAGAACCAATTCAGTCCATCACAACACAGGCAGCAAAGATGTACCTCCCTGCCTTGGGGCTCCACCTCCCCTTATCTCCCCTAAAGGACCCCATCATCCCCCTGCCCCTCCGACTACACTGTGGAACCCAGCCTCCCTTGTCGACACCCCTGTAGACTCCCGCAGGAAACTCAACCCTCCTACACCTCCAAGTCGGCCGCCTCCGGGACTGACCAGAGCCGACAGACCCCCCCTGAGCTGGGGGGAGAAGCTGGAAGATGGGGGCAGGAGGAGGGCAGAAGGCATAGAGAGGTACACCTCACTTAGGGGAGCTAGTTTACAAGAAGCAGGTTCGTGGAACAAGGCAGAACAGGACAGAGCCATCCAGAGCCTCTATCAGCGGCATCACATCAATAACCTCCACCAGAGATCTTGTGTGCCTCCGTCTACTCCCGGTGCCTGCACTGACCTCGAGGGGCAACGCCAGGCAGCCTCTCCGTCTCCAGTGAGGGAGCGACAGAGTCAGCCGCCCGACAGCATGTTGGTGTATGACGAGGTTCTCCAGCAGCACCGCCGGCTGCTCAGCAAACTCGATCTGGAGGAGAAGAGAAGGAAGGAGGCCAGAGAGGGAGGTTAGTCCAGAGCGAATTTATGAGCAGGAAAGGGAAGTGATAGCACGAAGAGATGACTACAGTGCAAATGGTTGCTTGTGCCATCAAGACTAACCCTTGCAATTTCTTGCCCTCCTCTTACCAGGTTATTACTATGACCTGGACGAGTCATATGATGAGAGCGACGAAGAGGAGGTGAAAGCCCATTTGAGGAGAGTGACAGAACAGCCCCCGCTCAAACTGGAAGCATCCTCCGAGGTACATGAACATAGACAGACTTTATATAAAAATAAAAGGTTTTTAAAAATGTTTTATGAGCGTGATGTTTACCTGCCCAAATTTCTCCCTCCAAAGAAAGTGGATTTTCTGCGTGTGTGTGGTCTGACCACACTGGCCCATCGTGATGGGCTTCTGGCACGGAAGAGGAGGAAGAGGAGGAGGATGATGAGAGAGCGCAGCCTCTCTCCTCCAGCCGTGCGGGGCAAGAGGAAGGCCTCTTCACCTTCAACACCTACAACTCCCTTAACTACCCCATACTCTGCCGAACAGATGGACAGCACCCCTGAGCTGGGGGAGAAAAAGGACTTCCTCCTTATGTTCAACCTTTCTCATGTCAGCCCACAGCAGAGGAGAGGTAACAACCTGTTTAGTATCTATACACACATCCTACGTGCTACTCTGCTCTCTTCGCAGTTGTTCTGGTGATTCCCAGTGGAAAAATACAACATGCAGTTGCTCTCTCTGTTTTATTATTTACCAAGGGTGTAGGAGGGGTGAGAAGAAAATAAAGTTGGGTGCATCTGGAGAGGAGGTTGTGGCAAGATTTTTTACTTTTTCCAGGAAGGGTAGATTTTAATCCACAGCTTGTCAAACTATAGTGTCAATTTAAAATGTATGAATTTCTTATAAAAAAGTTATTGAACTAATGTATTTCTAATATAAAACAGTAGATATTTAGATACATTTTGGAAGACATATGCATTTATACCTTATATACTGTTGGATAAACATAAAACATAAAATCTGGGAATTTGGCTGTATTTGTTTTGTTTATTTCATTCATTAAGAAACATGAAAATCTGATAAAAAAAGGTAACTCAAAAACAAGATTTTGTATTACCCTTTAACTAATAATTATACTACTATACTATATACTACTATACTACTAACTATACTATAAATATTATCTATAAATCAGAGCCACCCATCATAAGTGAATAGATACATATCATACATTAATTATATTTCACGGAAAGGCTGTCATTTTCCCACAAAGTCCAAAAATAATTATTATTTCTGGACTTGGACCAAGTGGAATGAGTACATTAAACCTAATGTGATTTATTTTTATAACATCTAACAGCTTGCTCTTTATTTATTTTTACTTTTCTTTTTTTTCTAAATTGAAAGCTTCCCGTGTTCAACTGTAAATAATTAAAGCTAATGTTCTGTGAGGGGATCTCTGGAAGAGCTAGGCTGTAAATTGGTTTTGTGCACAGTGTTATGTGAATCTACCTGCAAGTGGTACTGTGTACATTGATGAATGCTTTTCCAAGAAAAACAACAAACAAAATCAGCAGCTCATTCCCTTTCAGTTTTGTTAGTGGAAGGATTTTCTGATCAGCATCGCAAGAGGACCTAGTTTACTGTAAACCGTGGTAATCAGCTTTTGAATAAATAGGGACATCAGATCTGGATGAAAATCTGAATAAACCAATCTCTGATCTCTTGGTGAAATAACTGAAAATGAGCCTTTATTAAACTTCCGTTTTTGTGGCCACAATCTGTGATGGTGTTTTTCTGGACATTAACCTCAAGTCACACATTTCCTTGCCCCGGTCAGTATTTGAAATCCTCAAACATGAATGACAGGTGTTCTCATTCTGTCTTTTCCTCTGTAGATAAGGAGAGGACAGAGGAGCTGCTGAGGGCCATTCAGAGGAAGACCGTGACGTTAGACACACTCAGATATAATCCTTTACCTCCATGTAGCAGTCCTTCTGCTCCCTCAGCTGGTGAGACACACACAGACACTTGAGCAAATACATCCACACAGATATTTATATGCTGCTAAAACTGTAAAATTTTATTTTTAGGTGACTCCTCGTCAGCTCCTCTGCCGTGTCAATCAAACGGACATCTGTACCCAGACTCTCCAAGCCCCTCCCCGCCGTATGTACACAAACCTAAACATCTCCTCCATAATGACACATTCAAACCCTCCATGGACAGCCATGTGGCCCGCGTCCCTCCACCCTTGGCCGTTCATCATGAAAAGGCTGAATTCACGGAGCCAAACAGGAAGCACCAGGGCCTCCAGAATGGCGTTGTTGCTTCTCCCCAGAAAAAGGAGCCCAGTCCTGTGCAGAATGGATGGAATCGGCCCTTGGAGAGGTTCACGCCTGAGTCCTTTGCTCAGCACTTCCACCAGGCTGTGCTGCAGTCCACACACAACACGCTGCAGAACAAAGGTTAGCCACTCGCTCTCAAAGGTGCATGACCATTAGGCATGATTGAGACTTTTAAAATTACAAAGTTCTGCCACCTAGTGGTGTTAAAATGCAGTATCCTAGCAGTTAAAACATCTATTAGTAATCATATTGGCTGCTTATGAAGTGTTGTGCTAAAAATAGCTGCAGAGACTGACATTGCATTTTTGTCTCACTCTCTTCTTCTCAGGAGTCTCCAATTGCATCCCCGAGGCTGGCACGAAGGCCGACCGCTCGTTGTTTCACAGCATCTCTCAACAGAAGAGTTCAAACGTTAATCATGTCCCTCAGCAGGCACACATCAACGGCCATCACTTCCACCATTTCCCTGTAGGCAGCAGGGACACTCCAGGACCACGGGAAAACCTGTCTGATGAGGACGAGGAGGAGTCTGGACAGGAGGAGGAAGATGAGGAGGAGGAGGAGGAGGAGATGGAAGAAGCTCCAAAGAAGTGGCAGGGTATTGAAGCTATTTTTGAGGCCTACCAGGAGTATGCGGATGGTGAGTCAATGTTAAGTTTGTTTTATGCACGTAAACCAAAATTGCTTGTTTGTAAATTATTTGTTTTTATTTATTTTGAATTGTTTGAATTGTCATGTGTTTCTAACTGTACATATGACAATAAACCTCTTGAATCTTTTCTTTATTTTGATTGTACAATCAAAGTTCAGACATCCTCAAAGAGAAAATACTAGAAAAACCTGAGCTGAAAATACCTCATTAAAGTGTTATTATAGAAACAAAAAATGAGGCCTGACTGATATCGGATTGTTGAGGTTGATTCAATATTGATATTTAACAGTTAAAAGTAACAATATATAGGCCAGTATTTATTTTTTAACATAAATGCATACCAGAAATATCCCCTAAATGTGGTGAGCAATGAGTTGTGATGAAGATATCAACACAATTTAAAGTAGAAAAATACATCTGCAACTGGTCAATGGAAGGAAAACTACATAATGTAGTCACTGTTTCTAAATTACCTTCCTGTTACACTAGGGGTCGGCAATTAGGTTCAACTGTGGGCCCATTTTTTAAAGAATTGTTCACTGGGGGGTCCTTCTTAATTTTACGGCCGCTGTGGAGACAGACAATCCTGCATATTTGTTTCAAACAATTTTGTTTGTTAGAGTATTTATTTTTTTTAAGAATAACAAGACGTAGAGTTTATTTGGATTTTCTATTAAGTTAATACTCATTTGGCTAAAAAAAATATACTCATATACAGTAATCTATGTTCTGTGTCGCACTACAAGACTCAAAATGCAATTGCTTGGTTACGCACACTTGGTCGTTTTGAAACCGGGAGCGTTTACCCCCAGAGATCAATTTACTCCTCTTGGTTTGTTTGTAGGAAGCCAGTGTAAACAGGAACCACCTTCATTTATGGTTGAAATCCTGTTGTTGTTACCTTCTCCTCAATGCATCACTTGTGTAAAACTGTCACCTTTTTTTTGGGGGGGGGGACACAAATCATTCATAATTATAATGCAGCTTGTATTATATTGCTATCGACAGTAGATTTATAAAAAATCATGCACAGTAGAGGCTTTGATCGATAAAAGGGAAAACTTTTGTCAGAGGTCCAAATATTTTTGATGGAGGGCCAGATTTGGTCCACGGGCCACTATTGAGGTCATTTGTGTAAAAGAGGTATTGGAATAATCTTCCCTCATTTGTGGTTTCTGTGTGTTTCTATCTGTGCAGCGTGGAGTATAGAGCGGCAGGTTCTTCACAGTCAGTGTAAAAGACTTGAAGCACAAAATTACAACCTGACCAGAACTGCAGAGCAGCTTTCTCTCACTATGGGGGTAAGTACCTGAGACCATATCTGCATGCAGATTTGTGTGTTTTCATCTTTCAATGTCACTGTTCCCCTTTGCTGGTAGTACTCCTCTGTGTAAGCGATGTAGCATAATACAGAAAAGTCTTGGTTCTGTAATGAGAGTCGTATCCCTCTTTCATTTCCTCAGGACCTGGTGAGTCAGAGGCAGAAAGTGAGAGAGGAGAGGGAGAGACTGCAGGCCCAGCTCGAGCACTTCAGGAGGTGTTTGACACTACCTAACATTCACTGGGGCAGGAGGCAAGTCAACGGGCACACACCGAGGTGACCTCTGACACTGACTCTCTGGCAGATAATGCCTCTGACAGCGGAGGAACAGTAACAAGAACAAGACAGACTGGAGCCAGACCACTCTCTGCACTTGAAGCACTTGAAGGAGCCAGTCCTTGTCTTGTTACCCTTCTGGCCAGTCAGTTATGTTACCTGACTGGTTCCAGATTCAACTGATCACCTGCCATGTTCGCCGCGGTAACTGTACACCGCGGTGACCGTATAGTCTGGGCAAATTCCCACTCTCTGTCACTCTGCCCATGGATAATAACACTGTGTGGGTGAAACAGCGTCTTTGTCAGAGTAACACTAACCATTCCCACTAGTCCCTGAGATGGCTTTAAGGACTTTCCACCATTTAGCTCATATCATATGAATTTCTGCATAAACTGTATTTATCCAAGCTTGGTACAAATCCGTAGTCTCTGGACAGCGGTAAGAAGATACTTAAAGCGCGCAGTGGTCACTTGGTTAAAACTCAGAGAATGAAAATTGAGTCAAGGAATCAAAGCACACCTCAGGCCTTAAACTTGATAGGATGCACTTGAAATGGAATTGGGAGGAAATACTTGACTATCCTCTGTGTGGTATAATGTTGTAGCGTCTACTGGGCACCGTGTCTGACGGATGACACAGTTTGTGTGCTGGTGAAGAGGATAGGAAACATCTAAAAGATAGTATCTATATAATGGTATCAATGAAGTTTTTTGAGGTTTAATACACTTTTCCATTGGTGAAATCACTCGCGGTAGACGAAGAATTTTGTATGTTTTATCGTTTTAACCATTTGCTTGTGGGAAGCCATATGTTCTTGTTTTGAATTGCTGCTGGTCAGAATAAAAATGTTTAGAAAATTAAGGGTGTTAGGACAGTTGTATTTGAGGAAAATGTTATGTGATGTCAAAAATGTTTGAGGGGTTGGACCACTGGCGATGGATGACAATATGGCGAAACATCAGGTTTTTGTCTCGCAGCATTATCAAGTTGTCATGATTAGTTCAGAGGTTTATCCCCCAGAGTCGGTGCTCTAAGCCCTCCACACGCCTATAAATATATACAAAACTTGAATAGAAAAAAAAAAAAACTATCTACACATGTTCTTAAATAATTGGCATCATTTGAGTGACATGACTGAACTTTTAGGCATACTGTCCAACCTTACCACACCTTTCTGAAGGTGGTTTATTGTGGCGTTGTTTCGAAAAATTAAGTTTAACTGATTTTGTTGAGAAAACTAATAAGCCAAATTATTATACGGTTAAGTTTCAGGACTGTGTCAAGACTAATAAATTATTTCTTTAATTGTTGATGGGTGACATAAACATCAGAATTACACTATCCTTCTGCGAATAACAATACAACCACACCTTCTCTGGTCTTTTGATGAGATTTATTTCCATCCAGCCAGACAAAAATATATCACAAATTCATAATTTCTGCCTCCTTCCCCTTTTGAATGTTAAAATCCCAGGAGTCTGTTCGTACAAGCACAACGGTAGCAATGTCCCAAAATCATCTGACCTTCCTGTGTCACCTGTTCAGTCTCCTCTACCAACCTTCTGTGAAATCCTGCATATTTGTTTCAATCAGTTGTTATGTAATGTATTATTTGGGACGTATAATTGTGATGAATTATTTATTAACATATATTGCTGTAAAGTCTGATGGAAATTTACAATAAAATATTTGTAAAATGTCTTTTGTCTGTCATTGTCATGTGTCTGTTTCACTTCTGATAAGTCTCACAGCAGTCTTCACCTGACCAACAGTGTATTCAACACGTAGATGTATAATTAATTTAATGGTCTATGGTCATTTATTGTCAGCAGTAAAGAGCCAACAATATAATCCAAATGTTTATGTTTGATTTTAGATATTTGTAGACAGTTTACCTGCCATACGACGTAATAACCGGTTTGACCTGATATAAAACTAAGTTGTTTCCTTAATTAACTGATATTCTGAGTTTTTGACAAAAAGAAACAATGTCTGTCTTTGTTTGATTATAAAAGGAGCTATATGAAGAATACGTCATTTTATTGCATACATTACTGATAGAAATAACACCATATACAATAAGTGATTAAAGGAAATACCATCTTAATTCTATCGTAGACTGTCTAAACTCCTTCCAGAAAGTATTCCCCTCATTTGGTGACTTAATGATGGCAGCTGATGGTGCCGGCTGAGACTCTATGGGTATTTAATCGGGTTGAGATCAAGTGCCTGTGAAGGCCACACATACGATTAACACCATTTTCATACTCATCAAACCACTCTGTGACCTCTTGTGTCATCTGGATGGGGGAGGAAAGAGTCAAAGAGCCACTCTCACTAAGACAAGAAAAGTTTCATTGGATAAAAGCAGAGGTAGGAAGTAATCAAGTACATTTACTCAAGTACTGTACTTGAGTGCAATTTTGAGGTTTCCATACCTCATCTACTTTATACTTCACTACATTTAGAAGAGGAAAGAGAGGGAAACATTGCCTTTACAGTGAGCCAACAGGTGCAATAGCTGCAACCCTGACTCTGTTTGACCTGCATGGAACAGACGCTTAATTAGTATCATCGGTAACACCTGAGGTTACTCTGTTATTTCATGTCAAAATGGTCCATTCATTTGCAAATGAAAGGCTCTGCATACTCACACAGGTGTTTTCAATTAGCCTGGCTGATTAGATGTCTTGTGAGGCGTAAGTTGGGTGGAGTTGACCTGATTTCAACAATCTCTATACACTTGCAAGAAAAAGAAGAAGACAGGATATGCTACTTAATAAAGAGACCAGTAAGCTACAGAAATGCTTTAACATCCATTTTGTAGTAGACTCACAGGGGACAGAATAGAGTGAAACAAGGGGGAGCACAGAACTAATTACACATAAGTGAACACACTTGTGTACAGGGACCATGTTATAGATTAATACGACTTTATTTTCTGTTTATTAACAAACAGCAGTTAAAAACAGACAGACAGAAAATGGGTAAATACATGGAAGGTTTGGACATATTGCTTGATTTATCTTTTTTAAAATATTAAATAAAGATGGTTTATGATTGGAAAATTTATATTTATCAATACATGATTTAGCAAGCAGTAGGACTGATGATATAGTATTCTTTTGGTAGAAGAGCATGAAAAAAAAAAAAGCCAAACAATACATTATCATATGAAAGGGTAACTAAATTCTGAATCAATATATTGGGAAATAAAAGCACAAATATCTTTCCAAACAGAACAAGACCAAAATTAATGAAATAAATCTTCTGGAGCCAGTTGATAAAATTAGTGTGGAACATCAATGTCCTATTTATAGCTTTGTCAAAATAACATGGAGGGATAAAAACAATGAATTACTTTTACTTTAAAATCAAATATTTAGAAGGTAGACGTGATATTTTCTTCCAGTAGGAAACTACATTCAGAACAGAGACCATTTCTTTTAGAAATAAGGCACAAATATCACAGTTACTATTCTTTTTAGAGGAGAAACAGACAGTAGTAAAAAGTCAGTTCACATAATACTGAGTTTCATACTACAGAGCGACATAATGAGGGATGTGTGCAGTGCTTGGAGCAACATAACACAGTGGAAAAACATTCAACCACCATGTGACAAACCAAAGGTTGACTGTGTCCAGCAGCTATTCACGTAGCTTCTGGATGACTATCAGCAGATAGCCGTTCTCTAAAGAAAGAAGAGAAGACGGGGGAATAGAAATATAATAAAAACGGTAGAGTGATTCCTCTTCTGAGTTACAGCTGTTGACTTTAAATGTTTGTCATGATCAGTGTTTAAGGCATTACTAGTAATAACATTACTTTCCCCAGTAAACAGTAGTGTAACTAAATGGAGGAAACTAGCTTTAAAGTTGAAAACGCTTATATTCAGTGAAATATTCCCATTACTTTGATTTTAACAAACAAAACTGGATTTTATTTGTAATAAGTCTGAATTTTTGAGAGGAAGCTGCATAATTACCAATTTTGTGGAGAGTAGCAGAAAAGTAATATAACTACTAGTGTAAATAATACTTTCTGTAATACTGCAATCTTTAAAACTCACTATTACTCATTTCATTTCTGTCAGTCACATACTGTAGCATACATTTACAAGTCTATATTGTCATATTTAATATATATATATTTGTACTTATATATATACCTATATTTTCATTTTCTATATATTTTGTCTTAGATATTATAATATAATTAGTATTTCTATTCTTTAACATCGTGTAAGCACCTTAAATAACAAACAAAATTTGTCCCTAGGGATCAATGATAATTATTGTTGGCAGGGAGTAAAAAGTAAAGACTAATACATTTAATTGAGAAACTAGCCCAACACTGGTCATGATTAAGTTGCTGGGCGATATACCCGGATATATATATTGGATATAAACCGGATGAACCAGTATATATATATTTGTTTTTTTTACACTATTTTGCAGTTTGCACAATAATAATTATTTACATTATCAACTGTTTAATGCAGTCTGATTCATTCATAATATACTTTATTGTTTTGTGGAGCCAAAAAAAGCCCCATGAGTAATCACAGCCTACAGTATATAAGTTATGTGATGAAAATAAAATTACTTTTTTTGTACTCCTGACAGTAGAATAAGCCACTATACACCCATATACACCTGTGATACCAATAATCACATAACATGAAATACAACAATACCAATCTTACTCACCTGGTGTAACCATGATCTCATCTTTCTTGGTACGGATGCGGAGGAAGGTGAGGTCATTCTGAGGATCAATATCCCTCACTGTGCTCCTGGCCTGCATCGTGAGGTGATGAAGAAGTCCTGCGTACTGAGCCGCCGTGCAGTTATCTAAAGTGGTTCTGATGGGAATACCTGCAAAAATCAGACTGTATTGTAAACATGTTGTATCAGCGGGGGGGGAAAACAACAACCTGTTATTTACTGGATATTTTTTTGCATGTTGTCTTACCTTTTGCATTAACAACTATTGTTCCAATCACACCTTTATGGGCTTCGATCCTCTTCAGTGTTTCCTCAACTTCAGCCTGCAGGAGAGAATGAAATTAAAGGACATTAAATTCAACAAAAAAAAAGACGCATTTTATTAAACATAAACACGAATAACTTCATCTTAAGTAACAATAAGAAAATACAGAAAACACTTTCGACACAAATACGCAGTTAATCGATCCTCTCCCACCATTTCTTCGCCTGCTCGCGACAACTCTCCTCTCTGCGTCTCCCTGTTGCCAAGAGAAACGGAAGCGACGTCAGACGCAGGCGGAAGTGTAGCGTCGCCGTCATTGTGTGGAGGTGGGTTGCCGAGCTGCTCTTCTTTACTGCGAAAATGCCGGAGTTAGCGGTGGAAAACGTGGTCGTTCACCCCCTGGTGCTGCTCAGCGTGGTGGATCACTTTAACAGGTCGGTGGGTTTAGTACTTGCGTTCGCTGCTCGCAGGCGGAATGTCAGTAAAGCGTTACGTTGCTGCTGAGCTAAGCTAATGGTAGCCCTGCTGAGTCAGAGCGCCGTTAAGAATGAATGCAGACGGGCTAGTTAGCTCCGGGAGGGGGGGCTAGTGTTAGCGAGCAATAACGTGTTAAATAGTGTTATCTGGATGAGGGAGGCGGTAGGGTTGGTTAGTAGTTGAGCTCATTTATGTGTTCACTCTTGTGCTATGGTCTTGTCATTCGTTTATGTAGCAGTGGACGATATAAAGGGTTTATTAGACTGTGTTAGCTTAGCTTACAGTAGCGCCCTGGCTAAGTGACTCACTCAGTGCGTGTGAGTCGTATCGATCGATTCTCACTAAACTATAAACTAATAAGAGCATTTTGTTCTGTTTATTTGACTGTTTAATCCACAGGATAGGAAAGGTTGGCAATCAGAAGCGAGTGGTTGGTGTCCTTCTGGGGTCGTGGCATAAAAAAGTTCTCGATGTCTCGAACAGTTTTGCAGGTGAGTCTCATGTTGACAACATTTAGGCTTCCTGAGAGAAACAGACTCAGTGAAGAACAGTGGTAAGTATAAGTGGCTGAGATATAACGTACTAAGCTTTTATTCCTAGTATGATACAAGCTCTTTAAAAGACTTCCTATCATGATGCTATCTTTCATTTATTGCAGAATCCTACATTAAAAGTGAAAACAGGTTTTCTGTTGTAAAGTTTTAGACTTTGTAGACTCACACCTGTTTTTACAGACTGAGTAGTTAGCTGATCTATCTATCACTATCACTGGAGGGTCCTTTTTTTAAGATTAAATATGCATTAGATGACATTCATTGGGCACTCAATATGAAGCGAAAGTATTCTGAATGTCAGTGAATATTTTAAGACTGCCGCAGAGAGGTCACTTTCTTAATCCACTGTCAATGTTCCTTCCCAGTGCCGTTTGATGAGGATGACCGGGATGACTCAGTGTGGTTCCTGGATCATGACTACTTGGAGAACATGTACGGCATGTTCAAGAAAGTTAATGGTACGGCACTGCCCACATCTATATAATTCAGTTGTGTTTTACGTTGACTGTGTTGCCCTGATTTTATACTTGTGAATAACTGTCTTTCCTGGTTTTCAGCCAGAGAAAGAATAGTCGGATGGTACCACACAGGACCCAAGTTACATAAGAATGACATTGCCATCAATGAACTCGTCAAGCAGTACTGTACTAATTCGGTATGTACCTATTTTTCTCCACAGTTTCACCTTGTTTTACTCATATTCATTCCGGTATTGAACAACTCACTCATATATTTCTCTTTTATCCTACCAGGTGTTAGTCATTATAGATGTGAAGCCCAAGGATCTTGGTCTTCCCACAGAAGCATACATCTCTGTGGAGGAAATACACGATGTAAGAGAATCATAGATTGCATTGAAGCTCATAGAATACCAGATTTTTATTGAATTATGAATTGCATTATAAATACATTACTATTTTGTGGCCAGTCCAGCACAGACCAGAGTAACCTAACTGCCTCAAAAACCCCAATTACTAAAGTACTTTCTTGTGAATACAAACTTTGATTTAGAGTAGAGTTAGAATTATTTTCATTGAAAATCATTGTTTGTTTGATTTACTATTTTTAGGATGGCACTCCAACATCCAAGACATTTGAACACGTCACCAGTGAGATTGGAGCTGAGGAAGCAGAGGAAGTGGGTGTGGAGCATCTGCTCAGGTACAAAACAAACCTTTAATTTACACACTTTGCCACACTGTAAATAACCACAGTGAATAATTACGATACTACTTTACTGTAATCAACAAACGTGCAAAGAAATACTGAGTTATCAACTCAAATGTTTATATATTTATATAATGTCCATTAACTTCTCATCTGCTATTAACCTACAGAGATATCAAGGATACCACAGTCGGCACTCTGTCGCAACGCATCACAAATCAGGTTCATGGCCTGAAGGGACTCAACTCAAAGCTGCTGGAAATCCGCTCTTACCTGGAGAGAGTGACAGCCGGAAAACTTCCCATCAACCACCAGATCATCTACCAGCTGCAGGATGTCTTCAACTTGCTGCCAGATGTAAATCTACTGGTAAGTTGTTTGTGTTTGAGGTGTATTTAATTTGTATTTATTTACAATAATCATTGTAAGAAGGTTTGTTAAATTGTAGTGCAGCTAAATTTACTTGATTTTTGAGTGACACAAACATTTTTCTAGTTTAATTTTACTATCCTGCAGTGCCCTGGTAGCTCACCTGGTAGAGCTGGCCCATGTACCAAGGCTAAATCCTTGCTGCCCCCCCCATTACCCAAGGAGATAGATAATTATTATCATTTTGCATCGACCCAAAGAAACGTTAATTATTTTTTACGCATTTCGCTTTACTTATATTGTAACAGTGGAGATAGACAGTGCCCAGGGCTGGATTCGAACCTGCGCCACTGCAGTATAGATATGTGGTATGCGCTCTACCTTGTGAGCTTCTGTAACAGTAAAACAAAATCTACCCTTTTTTAGCTTCCATGTTTAACTGAACTTCTCATTTTCTCCACTGGAGGGCACACTGAGTCGGGTTTAGTGAGACACACAGCTCCATCACATTTGTGTTGATCAGTATGAACTGTAGTTCCTAACCAAGGAATGTGTCAATATTTATACTTGGGTTTAGACTTGGGTTTAGGTTTACTGTAATGATATTTTCCAAATAAAATTTTGTGATGAACTTATTAATTCCATAATTCTTAATAAATGTAATTCAGTTATCTAGAGTTGGTAATTTGTTTACAACCACCAAAATAATGTAAGATTAACCAGCATAGTGGTGGCATAAGCAAGACCTTAGAGACAAATACCTTCTTGTGTCATATCTTAATAAAGATCCCGCTCTGTTTGATCTGTGGCTCATCTTTTATTGTTTTGAATTCCCTTTCCACATTTTGGTCAAATAATTCATTCACATCATTCCATACGATATGAATTTGATGTGTGTTTTGTTTTAGGCACGGTTTTGGGATGCTGAATATCATGTATTTGTCTTTGCAGGAGTTCACAAAAGCCTTCTACCTTAAGACCAACGACCAGATGCTGGTGGTCTACCTGGCCTCGCTCATTCGCTCCGTGGTGGCTCTGCACAACCTCATCAACAACAAGATTTCCAACCGAGACGCAGAAAAGAAGGAAGGACAGGAAAAGGAGGAAGGCAAGAAAGAGAAGAAGGATGACAAGGAGAAAAAAGATGACAAAGACAAAGAGAAGGAGAAGGAGAAAGCAGATGGTGCCAAGAAAGATGAGAAGAAGAAGAAATAAGCGTACTTCTTTTAGGGTCTTCTTGTAAATCACACCATCTTCATCTGGATACTGATCTACTTTCTGCCCACAGTCACAGCTCTATGTGGGTCTCAGGCTAAAAGTAGGTGTCTATATGGGGAATAGTGTCATTTGAGATTTGGCCTCACCATCACAAGTGGCACTCATAAAGACTGTTATTATCGTACAGAGATGATGTTTGCGTCTTTGGTCTTCTGAACTATGAGAACACGCTCCTGGTGTGGTAAAACACCTGGTATTGCTTTTTTTGTAATATGGAAAAAAATGTTTTGTTTCTGTTTAACTCATTAAATCTGAATCATATTAAAAATGTGTGTTTTTTTTGCAGTTTTCACTGTTCCTATTTTATCTTTCTAACAGTCTCAGTAAAATGTTGCATAATGCCTGTAGGCAGATTGCCAAATTATACACTGAAATTAAAATGAGGATGAGTTATGTTGCTAAGAACCTGCTGTCAAAACCACCATACTACTATAAACTGTGGCGATATAACTTCATAACAGGTAAGAACAAGTTCAAATCTAACTCAGGTTTATAGTTGCTTTATTGGCGTGATGGTACAGGATTGTCAAAGCATGTTGTGCTTTGGAGTAACAAGGAGGTTCTAAGGAGTTCAATAACAAGTTGTCAAGCGTCTGCTGATCATGTGTTATGATTGAAAACTCCTGAACAATTACTAAATTGGGGCTAGATTCTATCAAACAAACTTCACAAGAGCCACTTTGAAATTAAATAGGGAAAACACAGGTGTTACCAATAATACTAATTAAGGCTCTCTTCCATTCTTGTCGAACAGAGCCTTAATTATTTTAATTGTAATTAAAATCATGGAAAACACCTGTGTTTAGGCTATTTTCTCATGTCAAAATTGCTCCTGTGTAAAAGGTCTATGTCGACAACTTCTATCAACACAATGTAGAAAATAAGAACAACAAATGGCCACTACATAGTATACCATGATGGAAGTAAATGAAAACATTTAATAAAGAAGAGATGAGCTGTAGTTTCACTGAATGCAGTCTAATAGTGAGGAGGTATCTCTGGGTATTTGTGCCACATGTGTCTATGAAGTTCATGTACAAGTACAGTTATAAACTCTACAGAGCACAGATTATAGCATTATAACCACACACGGGAGGAGGAGAGGTGTTAACTTTTTTTCCTTTATTGCTCATAATAAAGACAGGTTACAGTTTACAGTTTATATAAAAGAAAGGAGGAATACATAAAAAAGAAAAAGGCAAATAAAAATATAATGCTGGCAGGAAGAATTTATATAAACTTATATTCTATGTAATGGCCAGCAGGGGGAGCTCCATTCGCCATTACCATACACTCTAATAGAGAAATGATCCGACTTCTCATTTGATTTATTAGCTCAATAAACAGTTTCCTTATGAGTTTATGGTCTCAACTACTAGTTTCAAGTCTTCTTTCATACATTATGATGTTAATTTAGTAAATTATGGTCCAATTTAGGGTAAAACAGACAGATAAAGAGAGGTATGCTTTTTGGCGTGGCTACCTCAGGATTGACAGCTCATTCTCAGTGAGTCCGTCCAACGCACAGAAACTCAGATCAGTTACTGCGATGCCTATTTCTCACCTAAAATATAACACATTTTAGTGTAGATTAGCTGTAATACCACATTGTATGTATTGTATGTGTATTTATATCTGATTGATTGTTTCCGTCCAGGCCCGGTGGATCCATAGCGCTAAGAGGAGCCAGAGGAATCAGATTATCTGTCTCATCTACTGTCAGGATATAACGTTAGTGACAAATATCAGCAATAATGACAAAAAAAATATTTCTTATAAAACTTACCCACTGCAGCTTTAATCATGTTTTTTCTTCTGTACACCAAACAACACAATCTTCCAACTAATATGTTCAAGAATAAAATCACAGTTCATTCTTCACATAGTGGGAGGCACTGCCAAAATAAAAGCACGGCAGTTAGTGGACATCGGTCAGAGGCGTTAACTGCCAGCCGTTATATTTTTTTAAAACTGCGTCATCGAGCAGCTTCTTCTCTCCCAAACGCTCGCGCTACATCGCGTTGCCACAGTCACCAAAAACACTGCAGATTAGAAGTAGCAACGTTACTGGTAGCAGGTCACCGCCGCCGGTGCAGCGCATTTTGAGCTCAGGTTTGTTTTCGGGGCAAATCAGATTACCGGGAAGGTAAAACTGGATTCTGACGTAGGCGGGTTTTAAACCCCGGGGGCAGAGAGAAGCATCACTCGCTCGTGCTGCTCGCGCGCGCGCACCAGTGTCAGCGAGGAGGAGGAAAGCAGGCTCGTGCAGTCAACAAACCCTCCTCTCTCTCTCTCCCTGTCTGTCTCTCTGTCTGTCTCTCTCTCTCCCTCTCCCTCTCTCTCTCTCTCTCTCTTCTCTCTCTCTCTCTCTCTCTCAGGACCTGAGTATGACTCCTCAGACGTTTCACTGCGACTGAACAAGACGGACGACCGTTGGTAACATGGCTTCGTATTTGCAGGTGAGGCTGTCAACTGCTGTCTGTGTGTGTGTGTGTGTGTGTGTGTGTGTACCGTAGGCCTTTCCTACCACCAGTAGTCACAGTGTTTGTCCGTTTACCTTCCCGTGTGTGTGTGTGTGTGTGTGTGTGTGTGTGTGTGTGTGTGTGTGTGTGTGTGTGTGTGAGGAATAAACAGGTGGTTGAGAGGTATGGTGTTGCCAGGAGGGTTTATAATGGCTGTCACTGTTGTTATCTGTCAGTGCCAACCGTTGAAGAGATCTCCTTCTTCTTCTTTCAGATCGCTGACGATGAGAAGGGCCATGAGCTGGACCTTTTCTGTGTCCCCAGACATTATGAGAACGATTTGGACAAGGTGATCATCCCGCATGGACTCATCATGGACAGGTAAACCCAGCCAGCACCAGTACCTGGAAATTACCAGCTCATGTCACCTGACACACTCACTCTCTGGATCTTTCTATTTCACACACACACACACACACACACACACACATTCACACTGCTTTATGCTAGGATTACAGCAGTATAGTGTATTTGTTTGACAAATGGCTGCAGTCCACATTGGGAAGTGCATTTGAATGTGGCTTTGAGAGGTAGGGGTTTGAATGTCCAGTGCAGTGCTGTTTGCACTGTAAGCAATTATGTTTAAGTGCAATGTCATGTTCCCCTGCCCAGATTCATCAATACACTTTCCTTTTCCCCCCTTCCTCCCCTGTCTTTTGTGTGTGCCACCTCTCTCTTCTGGTCCAGGACGGAGCGTCTGGCCCGGGACATAATCCAAGACATGGGGGGACACCACATAGTAGCCCTGTGTGTGCTAAAAGGGGGCTACAAGTTCTTCGCAGACCTCCTGGACTACATCAAAGTGCTGAATCAGAACAGCGATAAATCAGTGCCGCTGACGGTGGATTTCATTAGGGTGAAGAGCTACTGTGTAAGCTGCCTTTTCTCGTTTCATTTCCAGGAAACCGCTTGTGCTGATGTGAGGTGTGTGTGTGTGATTTGGCGAAATACAAATGAGGTCATATTCAGTTAGAAATGGGCCACTGCAGTTGTTCAAAATGTGGAGACTGTGGGTGCAATGTATAGACACTTTTAAGAACTTTTAACTGTGGTTTGTGGTAATTTTTCTCTTGATTCTAGCAAAACTAATTGGACAAGGTTAATCCAAACTGTAAGCGCACTGAGACAGCTCATGTCGTCTCCTCTTTGTGTCCCCTAGAATGATAAGTCAACAAACAGTGTCAAAGTCATTGGAGGGGATGAGCTGTCCAATCTCTCAGGCAAGGTTCGTCTAGTGTTTGTCAGGCAGAAATACCGAAGTTACACAGTCATGTATAGCTGTATACTTCATCAGCTGTTCTTTCTTTTCTTTTCTGCAGAATGTTTTGATTGTAGAGGTAAGACTTTTATTTTATTCTGTATTGTGGTTAATATGGTCATCAATAATCATGCTGTTGTACATTTTCTGGAAATTCAATTGAGAAACTGTTTATAGATAACTGGTTTTGATAAATTCAGCTAATTAAACACCTGGCAAATCAAGTCAAATCCTCATTTCAGCCCAATCCAATATGACCATAGATCAATCCTGCTCACTGATTTGCAGTATTGATCACAATGATATAAATATTTTGGTATAAATAAAAATTCTCTGCACCAGTATTCATTCAGTTAGTTCATCTTTTTGAAATATCAGTCATCATTTGTACTACAAAACTAACTTAATATAATTTATTAGTTGTATAAATGTCATATTTTGAAGTAATATTTCTTTGTTTTGTTTCTGCTTTCACTTTAATGTGACCACTTCATGTTACCTGCCTTATAAAAAGGATATTGTGGAGACTGGAAGGACGATGCAGACGCTACTTTCTCTGCTGAGTGAATGTAATCCCAAGATGGTTAAAGTTGTAAGGTAGGCAGCACCAGACACCGTTTACAGTACAGGAAACTTAGTTATGGACCGCCACTATAACTGGCTGGTATGTCACCAGAGACGTTGCTTATTTACAGTGCTCTTAGCTAATGGATGCTCTCCTTTAGGAGTGTATTAGAGATGTAATGTGATGGAGGGAGGGAGCAGCTTAAGAGTTAATCTGCTGTTCTATTAACTGCCCTGTGGAGGCCTTTCCTCTGAAGTATTCCTGAAAGCTGTTTGAAACAGGAAATGTGTTGAAGCAGTAGTCGTCAGCAAGGTCTGAGATTATTCTGAGTATTGGTTATGGAAAGTGATATGTCTGTTGAGTTGTTTTGTATGTCCAGAAACAATACAATCCATCCATTAGACATAATCACTTATCCTTTAGAGCACTGGTTCTCAAATTATAGTACAACTGGTGGTATGCGAGCTGCCACTAGTGGTACACAGATAGCGGTACTATATAATACTATAAAAATACTTATGAGATTGCTGAAATGTGATTTGAATGTTTTGCATTTCCTGTAATATTGAGTTTCAATATCAGCCTGCTACGTAGTCACGTTCATGCATGGATCCATGATTAGTTATGAGCTAAAATGCGATGGCAAGATAATAAAGTAGAGGTAAAATAAATGGTTTAAAAACTCTGCAATCGTGGCTCCAAACAGGAAGTATTGGGAAGAGAAATGTGGACCAGGAGTAACCCTTTTCCACCAATCTGACTCTGGTCAACAACAAATACTGTTCTTATTGGGAATAAACCAGCCTCCTGCATGAACTGTCTGTAGCTGAATAGGCTCATAATGGTAGTATACTTGGAGAGTGTAATATTTTTTAAGGTGGTACTCAGTATAAAAAGTTTGAGTAACATTGCTGTAGAGGGTCGTACAGCTGAAATTGGTCAAGAGACCTTTCACAGTCACACCTACTGGCAATTTAGAGTCGCCAATTAACCTAACCTGCATGTCTGTGAAAAAAACTGGAGCCGAGTCGGGGGGAGGGTGACAACAGGCACCAGCTGGCTGACAGGTTCAAACTCAGAACCACCTTCTTACTGCATCACCAGAAACAATATGTTCCAATTATACAGATTAACCTCAGATCTTGCTAAACTTGTTTTCTTTGGTGAATTGAGCTTTCAGACAGGGAACCTCTACTCATTGGGAACACCTCTTCTAATATTGTGTCAATGCATTAACAATAAGATCCAAACAAAGAGGTTGATCTGGGGTTAAGGCACCAAGACACAATCAGTGCCATCAGTCAGAATGAAAAGTGAAAAGGTTGTGGTTATAGCAGTTCTTCTCTGAGGCATGTTAATGTCTCTCTTGTTTTATATATCCTGTATTTTCCTCCTTTGTCATTGCAGCCTTCTGGTGAAGAGGACCCCGAGGAGTTCAGGGTACAGACCAGACTGTAAGCACCTCTTTACTCACTTTACACTGAGACATGTTATCTATGTACGTTATATTAATGTATGGTAGTGCTCATTTATTGCCAATCCCTCATACATGTGTCCGGTTCTTTGAAGGGCTGGTGAGCTTTCATTTAATAAATCTGTCCTTTCCCGTGCAGGATTAACATTCATTTCAGGAATATCTACTCCAAATGTAGCCAAGCCTGGCACTTAGGGACTAACGCGTGCCTGCTAACCCCCCCGCTCACACTGTCTGTGATTATGTAATGCTTTTAGGTTTGAGTTGGATAATCTCTTTAAGATTGTCCCTCAGGCTGTTACTGTAAGCGTTTTGACTTTCCACTATATCGTACTTACATTTTAGTACAACCTAACACTGCAAAAGAGCAACATCTATTATTTCACTACAGCAAATGTTCCTGGATCTGCCCACAAGTCTTAAAAGTACTGTTTGCTTTTGCTTTTTATACAACTCACATTGTCGGTGTCTATATATTTATTTCAGACATTGGCTTTGAGGTGCCTGATGCCTTTCTGGTGGGTTACGCTTTGGACTACAACGAGTACTTCAGAGATCTCAGTGTAAGTATGAAAAGAATGAGGACAAACATGAAACAATAGCTGCGTTTTAATTGTGTACAGTGTATACAGTACTGACTGTCATATATATATATATATATATATATATATATATATATATATATATATATATATTACTGTTAGAATATCAATGTACTTTACTGCTTTGTACAAAAAGGAAATTATGAAATTCATGCATTAGGTACACCAATCAGTCATAATATTATGAGCACTGACAGGTGAAGGGAATAAACACTGATTATCTCGTTATCATGGCACCTGTCAGTGGGGGGGGGATATGTTAGGAGGCTGTGATGGCTAGACGGCTGGGTCAGAGCAGCTCCAAAACTGCAGCTCTTGTGGGGTGTTCCCGGTCTGCAGTGGTCAGTACCATCAAAAGTGGTCCAAGGAAGGAAAAGCAGTGAACCAGAGACAGGGTCATGGGTGGCCAAGGCTCACTGATGCGCTTGGGGAGTGAAGGCTGGCCCGTGTAGTCCGATCCAACACACGAGCTACTGTAGCTCAAACTGCTGATAAAGTTAATGCTGGTTCTGATAGAAAGGTGTCAGAACACACAGTGCATCACAGTTTGTTGTGTATGGGGCTGCTCAAACTATGAGCTTGAAACTGTCTGTTACACAAAAAGAAAGTAAAATGTTTTTCCAAATATTAAATTCTTTGTTTTCTAAAACCTTCCTCAATCAGTTTCACCACCATCTGCAGTTAGTTTTAATATTTTTCAGCTGTGACTAGTTTCCCTTTTTCCTTTTTGCATTGTGAAAGAATAATGTACAGTGAATACATTTTATATGCAAAAACCTGCTTACAATCTGTGTATAGTATAGAACTGGGACACGGCTCGGGTTTTGAAGCATTTACATTTGACAGGAAATTGATCTGGGATGATCTGTAGCTTACAAATAGGTATTAAATTACAGTCTGGGGAATGTTTGTGTTATTATACTCTTTTTTTTTTTTTTTTTTTTTTTTCTTCTGATTTTATTTATTCAATATTATATTTATGATAAATCATTTCTCCCTGTAAGATTATCTGAATGCTGGTTCAAAGCCTTCTCCACACCCGCATGATTATAATAGGCCTTTTTCACAGAAGACATTTTGACATGTGATAAGAAGGAAAAGCCCGGGTGAAAATAATGAAATTAATGATGGTTGAATTCAAAGCTGCTTTGGCTTCAGGGTCTTGATAGTTTGCATGCTGGTTCACCGTAAGACTGTCATGACTTATTGGAATAGAACAGAGTCATTGTTAATTTTATCAGTAACATTTGTGTTTTTACTGAGATCAGAGGACTGCTAAATCCTTCTTACTTTATTTAAAACCAATTACAGTTTTCCTAATTTAAACACTGAGTCAAAAGATTTGTCTCAAAATCCACCATTTGTGTGTAATTTCTATAATGTAAAGACCTCCTTAGGTTGTTAAACTGTCACATCTCCAGAAAACAATACGCACTAGAAAGAGCACGTCTTAGCTGCACAATACAGAGTTTCCTCCCAGTAATGGATCGTGGTGGATGATGAAAGAAGACTCGGTGATGTAGTTTAATCAAATTTACTCTTGTCCCCTGGGGGCTGGTATATCTTGTGTGCAACAGCGCAACATCTAGGGCGTGTATCTCTTCTGCTTATCACCGGAACCGGCATGTCTCACTATATTACACACTTAAGAAATTTTAATTCCTCAACAACAGAACTGATTAAACATGAGCCCTGTTTGTCTTCCACAGCACATCTGCATACTTAATGATCAAGCCAAGGAGAAGTACAAAGTGTGAGCAGAGGCGATGACTGAATCAATGAAGACTAGGACCACTGTGACGACCCTCCTTAGCTTTGCTGTGTTTGGAATCTTATTTATTTTTCTACATATGAATCCACAACATGTGACTTGTGGGTTGTAAATAACTTCAAGAACATTTCATTTCCCTCCCCCTTATTGAATACGTGGGATCAATTATTTATTTAATGAATATTTGGGTTGTTCAATTTTAATTTATTTATTCACTCATTGTGTATAGACTTTTCTTGTAAATTGCAGTTTTATCTTGAAGATATTTGTTTTGGCTCATCCAATCACATGTCTCAGGCTACTGCTTTATGTTCAGTGAGCTGTCAGTCACATTTAAGTAGCCTTTTGTACATGTTTCTGCATCGACTTAAAATACTGCATATATCCTCTCATTATGCCATAACATGACTGACTTGGAATGTACTGTATGTTTTATTTCATATCTTGTGTTTTCATCAAGGACCTGTTTACAGCAATACAAATCCCGTTGAAACCTTGAATTCTGTTTTTATTTTCTGATCCACTTTGTGTAGCTTCTTTGGCATATTTATAGAAAAATAGAAGAGAAGCAAACGCACAGTTGATAGAAGAGACTGCGGCCAAAACTTAAAGACATTTATCTCAACATATCAAGCTATAGACTAATGTGAGATTCAGAAATGAGACGATGAAAATAATGTTTTTAAATTATAATAAGCCGAGTTAAATGCACGTTTGATGACCCACCTTACTCTGCCTTTGATTGGCTCCTTGGTTAGGTTTAGGCGTGAGGAGTGGCGAGTTAGGGTTGGAAAAAGGCCCAAATCAGAAGCTAAGTAGGGGAGGGTCTTCTAATGATGTGAAGTTCGCTAAATGTATTGATTCACATTGAAAAATGTATAAAAACTACATTTTTATGTTCATAGATAACAAAGTAATATCAACATTTATGAAAAATTATGTTTTTAGCAGTGAGGGCAACACAATTCATAGTGTATCCTCCTTATTTATACTTAATAATTGCTAAAACACATTTAAATATTTATTTTTTCTAATTATTTAGTTTTCCTGTCATCTTTTGTTTGCACCCATTAAATTAATGATTAAAATGCATAGACGAGGTTATCTTTATGTCTTTGCTGCTTAGGTTTATGGTCTTCCTCAGCCACCATAGGTTGTGTCATGACGGGGGGGGGGCGTGGTTTACAGCAGCTATAACCGACGTCATCCCTGCAAAACAGTCGCCAAGCCGTCATGTAAACAGGAAGAACTCGTCAACATTAGAGTTAGAGGGACCTTAAAATACGGTTTTCTACTGTATACGACTATTTTTTCCACTTGTTGGCTTCCAGTTTAATTACTTTAAATGCTCGTGCAGTGCTCTGCTTTAATATTTACGATCAGCGGTGCAACCATGCACATTAAAGAGGAGACGATGGACATTTTAAAGCAGTTCGACATTGGAAACAAGTTCTCATTCGTCCCGGTGCTGCCCAAAGCCTCTGTGCTGATCCCACTGTTTGTGAAGAAAGGAGAGCTGCACACCTTGATGACCCTGCGCTCCAAACAGGTATCCGGTGAAATGTATATCAACTGGATGGAGGATGTAATAATGTTGTCTTTTGTTGAAGTTAACTTTTGAGTGACTGGTGTGTGACCGTAGCTGAGGTCCAGTGCTGGTGAGGTGTGTTTCCCCGGCGGGAAGAGGGACCCCAGTGACAGAGATGATGTGGACACAGCACTGAGAGAGGCACAGGAGGAGATAGGTCTACCACCAGAGGAGGTTCAGGTGGTCTGTAGACTCTTCCCCATCATCAGTAAGGTAGGACAGTAAACATATTCTTCCATCTCAAGGCACCATCTCTTCCTCATACTTCCAATCTTTATCTCTTTCAACAGGGTGGTTTGTTGGTGACCCCGGTTGTTGGATTCATAGAGGAGTCCTTCTGTCCCCATCCGAACCCAGCTGAGGTCAGCGCCGTGTTCCAAGTCCCTCTGGAGTTCTTCACCAGCGAGAAGGACCATTGTACTGCCCACGGGGCTGCTGGGATGGTGGGGCCGATGCACTCTTTTCACTTTGTGGACCCCGGTTCAGGAACCCAGTATCACATATGGGGACTGACTGCCATGTTGGCCATACTGGTTGCTGCCCTCGCTCTCAGGAAAAAGCCTGAGTTTGATGTTGGTTTTGACTCTGAGGATCCGTCGTCTTTCTTCCAACAGATTCTACATAGAAGAATTAGTAAACTATGACCAGTATTTACAATGTTAGTGACACATTTGTGCCAATACAAGACAGATTTGTTATATAATCAAATAGTATTGATTTACTGTATTAATTGTGGGGATTAAAGTGCAATGTGAAACCTTACTAATAACTTTTTTTTATAACTCCTGCATCTAAAAAATAAGCAGATCTAGACACTCAGGTTTTTATTAATTCATTTAATGTAGCAGCAGGATTACAGATATAAACAGAAGAGTATACAAATGTCCAGACCAAGGCAAATTACATGTTAATAATAGTTCAGATGTATGATAACACACTGGGGTTGACCTTTATCCCGACTGCAGGGTTTTAAGGCTAGATACTAAAGCTCAAGCTACACAGAACGGATACAACAGAACTGTTGGAGAATGTGAAATAGAAAGCGAACTAGGAAAAGTGAGCAAACTGATTACACACAAGATACAGCTCACACTATTGGCAATTTAACAGTTAATTTATCATGGTTGCTCCTTTTGATCAAGCATTTCACAGCAACAATAGTAATGTTGACAAGCACATCAACACAAGAAAGCTCTCCATAAAACAATCTCCACTGTCTCGTCCCTTTTACCTCACATGTACAAATCTCATGAGGCATGAAAAAAACAAAAAAAAAACATTTTCAACAGAAAATAACAATTTGACAATTCACTGGTGAAGCTGCACAATATTATGTTGTAGAGTACTTACTCTGATATCTTGTAATGGATTTCCAAGAGAAAAGGTTTATAAAATACATCAGTGTGGGCTATGGTTATGCTTGTGTTTATAAAATAAAAATTCAAATCATGAAAACTGTCCTGATGTTAAACAGTGAATAAAAAGGACATGGAGCCAAATAGCAGTGACACAAAAGGGACACCAGTAAACACAGCAGAGTAACAGTTAAGTTATCAAGGCACACAAAGTTCTGTTGAAAGCATCACAATTGAAATTCAAGATACCCCCTGCAGTATATTTCACATTTAAATATACATGGATATTCATTTACATGACTGAAGGACAAAACCGATATTGAGTAAAGATTTGTGTGCTATCTTCACCACCAATAAATTCATGTTTCACATGTTTTTTGTTTGTTTTTTTGTTTTTTTTAAGGTGGATGTGGCTATTTCACGAGTCAGACTGAGCATCCTGGATTGCTCAAAATAAAAAAAAAACGACTGGACGCGAGGACATGAAATTACACCACAGTCCAAGACAAAACAATATGACAAATGTATAGTGATACAAATGACATCTGGTGCCACCCCACCCATTCCCCTCTGCCTCAAAATATATGTTCTCTAAAACTGTAATTGGTCCGATGTTAGATGTAGAGCAAGCTCTATGTCCACACCATGAGGTAAAACTTACATTCATGAAACTGAAGTCACAGGTTGGCTTTCTGTGTTGGTATGGCTTTAAGAGGCATTACTGTTCCGCAACTTCTTCCACAAAACATCATGTGCTCTTAAACTCCCCTAACCCAGGAGGAATGGAATGCTTGGAAACATCACTACTGCGCTCTAACCTGACCTACAGTTAATGGATGAGTCAAAGTGCCATTTGAGATGCATGACATATATATATATATATATATATATATATATATATATGTGTGTATGTATATATATGTTAAAAAAAAAAGGAAGAACAAAAACACACAAGAAACCTAGCCCATGCATTACGTTATACAAGTTGGATAAACTCAATTTTAAAACGGTTGAATTACTTTCTAACATTATTTGCTTGATGTCCACTTAATTACATTTCTAAAGTTCAGTCATACACTTCACAATAAACCTGTGCCACGTGTCAGGAAAACATACCAGCAATGATATTCTGTGCTATGAGCATAAAACAAAACAAAACAAAAAAAAGTTTAGTTTTACAAAAATACTCTACATTTTGATACATGGATACAAAATTCTAAAAAAGATAAGTTACTTTAAAATGGATCACTAACAGCCGCAGGACAAAATAGTATGACTATGAAAATGTAAACAAATGCATATGAGCAATGCTATTCTAACATTTGAACTCTAAAAATTGGCTTTTTTGATAATGCCAAATTGGCTACTGTTGTAGATATGGAAAGTACAGCAGTGTTATTTTGCATCAAAAAATAGAGTAATTTTAATGAGAAATGTAAATATCAAATTGGTGGAAATGTTAATGAGAGTTTAACTGATCCATGAAACAAAGTACCTCTACATATCTTTTATAAATCTTGTACTTGAACAAAACATGCTGAATTGCTATCCATGTGAGAGCTGCATAATTTAAATGAGTAAACGTTATGAGGACATTTGCGAGGACAAACGTGAGACAAGGTGACGACGATTCACAACAGGAGCTTTGGTATGCCTGGGTGCACACTCCAGTCTGACCCCACAACAACAGCCAGCTCTCTAGACTCATCTCCGCTCCAAAACTAACAAATACCGTCAGTGCTGTTGATATTAAGTATAAACTGTTATGTTCTAACATCACATCAGAAGTGCCCATCACTCCAGTACGTAGCACCATCGATAGAATCAAAATGGTGCCCTCTATGTAACAGAGATTTCATTTACCAGTGAGCCCCTGTTCACAACACAAGGGACGGGTAACTGGATGCCAACTTCACATGGCGCCAGCCTGCACATGGTACCAACACTGAGACAAAAAAATTAAATATTTAAAACAACAGAAGGTAAAACAAGTGACAGATTGAACGGTAAATAGTACAAATAGCAACACGATGAAAATTCTTCATTTCAATGCACAAAACTAAATGAAATCAGTATTTTTAGTTTGTTTTGCCAGTGTGTAAAACACAAAGGCCCACTTACCACTCCAACACTGAAAAATGACAATGCTTTAGTGGGAATGGCTGTTGACAGACTTGACTGGACCACTGAGACTGAATACAAAGAGGAATTCAACAGTGAGCAGACGTTCTATACAAATTTGTCCTAGACCTAAAAAATATTCAGACATGACAAAATGTAAAAATGCTTGGTTAAGATGTATTTACCTTTACAAAGAAACTGCTTTATGTTTTTTTTTTTGTGTGTTTTTAACTGGACGTTTCTGAGTACAAATTCAGCTGGGTCAGTAGAGAGCTGTGGACGGATATAAGGATTAGCTAGAGGTTATAAAGTGCTTGAGATAAAATGTTTATAAAACCCACACGACACTCCTTTTTTCACGAGTGGAAAGTTTTTTCTCTATCCACGTTAAATTGGTAAGCGTTACCAACTTCTTCAAAACGAAACAAAACAAAAACAAAAGATACACACACTACATAGTCCAATGCTTCGTAAAATTTCACCAAGAATGCTTCTGCAAACCCGGCGATGAGGCCTGAACGTATGAAAACACTGGGGAGGTCCCAAGTCACATTATTCATCAGGTTGAATCTCATTTGCGAGTGTTTAAAAGTCCCTCAGTCCCTCCTCTTTCTGCACATGGGGGAATTCCCTACAATACCATAATGTATTGATATCCATTTTGGTGAGTGTTTATTTCATTTTTGGTGGAGTTGATATCTCCTCCGTCTGATAGTCTGCTCAGTTGCAGAGTCCAGCCATGCCAGCAAACATGATGAAGGCAAAACATTCTATCAAAGTACTTAATTAAATAGTTTACTCTTAGAGTAGATTTTAGTCAAATTGTTGACATATGAAACACAAGGTTTAATTAATTGCAAAAAATAAAAAAAAAGATCATATCATCCATTGTAAAAAGACGTTTAAATTGAGTGGTTGTGTCATTATTTCATCCCTGTTTCTATGCTAGATAAACCCCCTACCCTCTTCTGTTGCTTCACATGATGAACAGACGAAGACACATCTCATAGACGCTCTGAAGTGAAGGCTTGAAGTTTACACATACACACACACACACACAAACAAAGTGAGACCCAACCTATATCTGACACTTATGTGCAATCTGTTATTCACTCCATGGCTGGCTGTTTCGTCTACTCTGCCTGCTCTTACAGTCGCATCTCCATCACATTACTATTTCCCCTGTTGCTGACATTCTTTATCTCTTTCCAGTTTTTTTCCACCAAACCTGGTAGGCTTTTATCATCTCTTAGGCTCACATTTTTTAAAACAAACAAAACACTGCATTTCTGAGACTGATGGATAAAGCAGTTATTACAGGCCTCTCTGATCCTGCAAGAGGGGTAATAACAAAGGCGGATTCATCAATTCAAGGACAATGGATGTATGATGGCTATAATTGATTATAAATATTCCATAAAACAAGGAGTTACATGAGCTCATAATTTGTGTTTTAGGTAAAAGGGGCATTTAATTCTTAAATATTTAAATTTTTCTTAGTTTTGTGGAATTGGCACAAAACACCACGCACTGCCATTCTGTCTGTTGGTGTAAGGATGTATAACTTTCAGCTACATATTACTCACTCTCCTTAGTGCCCACATGGTCCAAACATTCATCACTGCTTCTGTAGACTTTCCAGCAGGTCCTCAATTTTATCCATGTTGGAGGATGAAGATATTGACGCCTGCAATTGATTCTGTAAGCTGCTCTGTATCTGTGTCTGTAGATTGGTCTGCATTGGAGTTGGCAGGCTTGTTTCTATGGTTGCCTGTAAACTGGATTGCAGAGGCGGTTGTGTGTTTGTCTGCATTGCGTTCTGTAGGCCGGTCTGCATGGCGTTCTCTAAACTCGACTGCATTTGTGCCTGAAGGGTGTTCTGTAAGCTGTTGTGCATGGTGGTCTGCATCGCAGGGGCAGCTTGGGCCATGGGCTGGTCCAACAGAGGCTGCATGTGACTGGAGTTCTGGTGTTGGCCCTGAGCTGGCAGGGTGGGTCCGGAGGAACTGAGCAGCTGGGGCGAATCTAGGAGGAAGAGAAAAATTTAAATAATCACTACAATCAAACAGTAGATAAAGGCAGTGGCGGTGGCACTGGAGTTATTCAGGAAGCATTTGGACATGAACAACTGAAGAAGACAGACCAAAATCATCTTACCATTTTGGATGCCAAACACAAACAGGTTGGCCTGTCCTTGTGGCGCCACATTCCCGCCCACAGTTGTCTGGAAAAGCTGCTCTGGGGGCTGCTGGCCAGGGTTGGCTACCACACCCACTCCACCCTGTACCACAAAGATGGTTGTGCCAGGGGCTGGAGCCTGGTTGTTCAGCTCCTGTGAGCCAATAGCACTCTGCAGGCTTGACAGAGATGTCTGTGGCAAAAAAAGCTCCACGGGTTGACTGCTTGGGATATTGCTGGAACTTGGGCCCACTTGCATTGGCTGCTGTTCCTGGAACAGGCTCTGCTGTTGGTTCTCAGTGGTTGTCGAGTTGCTGCCTGATAAGCTCTGGTCTTGGAAGGACATGGGCTCTGCTGGGTCTGGCTGGGAGATTCCAACGCTAATGCTCCCCATAGGGGAAGGGCCTTGGGTCTGGGTGCTGAAGAGAATAGTTGGGGGAATAGCCTGTGGGTTTAGATCCGTGGTGCAGAGGAGCAGACCTGTCTGCTGGGGTTGGGAAAGCTGGCTCTGAGTGACAGGGTTAGCTGGTGAGTGGTTTGGGATACTTTGGAACAAGGAGCCCTGCTGACCCATTGGAAGCTGTGGTGGCTGTTGTTGGTTCTGCTGTGGAGACTGCTGCTGTTCCATGGGGGTGCTCTGTTGCTGCATTTGGGAGAGCTGAGCTTGGGGTTGGTTCTGAAACATTGCAACAGACTGGGGCTGGTTGGATGTCTCCATGGAGGAGATGAATGCCAGCTGCGGCTGTTGCTGTTGTTGCGACTGAGGGTTTGGGGACAAGTATAGGGTTGACCCCGTTGACTGCCGCTCTGAGTTGAGACTGCCACTAGCCAGAACAGTCAGTGTATTCTGGAGCAGGGCAGCCTGGACCTGCTGTTGGGAGCCCTGGGTCTCAGCCAGGGGCCTGGGCGATTGGAAGAGTTGCTGTGGGGGAGATGTGTGGGATGGAGGCTGTGTTGGGAAGTTGGTCTGAATGGTGAGCAGTTCTCCAGCCTGTTGAAGGAGGGACACTGGCTGCTGTACTTGGGGGGAGGAGTGGATCTGGGGCTGAAGCAACTCAGCCTGGAGTTGCTGCTGTAAATTCTCCAACACCTGCTGCTCCTGCAGTTGTTGTTGCTGTTGTAAGTTGCTCAACGCTTGATTTTGCTGCTGTTGCTGCTGCTGTTGTAGCTGATGTTGTTGTAAATTGGTAAGTATTTGACTTTGTTGTTGCTGATCCTGAAGTTGGATGTTGTTAAGGACTTGCTGTTGCTGATTTTGTTGCAACTGTTGTTGCTGCTGTTGAATATTCTCCATGATTTGCTGCTGCTGCTGCAATTGCTGTTGGTCGTGGGGCTGTAATATAAGTTGCTGTTGGATCTGCATGTTGCCCAGAACTTGCTGCTGTTGCTGCTGTAAGTGTTGCTGTTGTTGATGCTGAAGGTTACCAAGGATTTGCTGCTGTTGATGCAGTTGTTGATGCTGTTGAAACTGTTGTATTTGTTGTTGTTGTTGTTGTTGCTGCTGCTGCTGCTGCTGCTGCTGTTGTATCTGCTGCTGCTGCTGCTGTTGTATCTGCTGCTGCTGTTGTATCTGCTGCTGTTGTTGTATCTGCTGCTGCTGCTGCTGCTGTTGTATCTGCTGTTGCTGTTGTATCTGTAGCTGTTGCTGTGTCGATAGAGAATTATCTGCAGTTCCTAATCTAAGGCTATTCATGTTCTCCTGGACGTGCTGCTGAAGGGAGTCTGCAGAAGGTGTGGGGCTGTACAGCACAGAGTTAAGCTGCTGTTGGGCTACAGCCGCCTCCAAAACCTGCTGGAGCGTGGTGTTACCTCCAGCTTGTAGCTCTCTTACTGCCCTCTCCAGCTGTGCCACCCCTTCCTGCGGGAACAGGGGAACCGGTGGCTGTTGTGTCTGGGGCTGAGAGGGAGTTGCTATCTGGGGCATGGCCACAACTACAACCCCACCACTATTATTAGAACTCTCAGGAGCCAAGCTATCCTGAGGGTCTCTGAGGAATTGCTGAGGGACTTCGGGTGTCACAGGAGGGATTGTAGTATCTCCCGACACTGGGAAGGAGGTTGTGGGGGCTATGTCTTGCTTCTGTATGGTGCTTAGAGACTCCAGGCTAGGGAAGACAGGGGGCGCCTGTGGAAGCTCCACGTCTTCAGGTTGTAGCGGCATTGGGCTCTGAAAGGACTCTCCACCTGGATGAGGACTAGAGCTGAGCTCCAGGGTCTGCTGCACTGAGACGAGAGGGTCAGGGGTGGGCTAGGAAAAGATAAGAAACAAAAATGTTACCAACTGCAATTCTGAAATAATTCTGATTCCTTTTTCTTCAGAATGAATGGTATCTTACCTTAAAGACGTCAGTGGGCGGTGGATTGCTCGACACTTCCATTGGTGTGTCCTCTTGTCGTTTGGAAGGCTGACTAGCACAGTCAGTTCTCTCAGAAGATAAAGATTTGATCTGGCCGTCAAATATACATGTCTTGACCAGGGAGGGTCCCTCTGTTTTTACTGTCCGGATATTTGAGTTATCAGCTGAGGGTAAAATTGGAAACACAGGATAAATGTTATAAGACTTAATGTTAAGTCTATACCTTGAGTGTATTGTGATTTAAGTTTATGTGATAAGTCATTAACGAATTCTGGATTATAGAAACATTGAAACCTTTCATTTAAATGCATCTGCTCTAACTGAAAACAGTGGATTTATACATTTGTTATAAATTGGCGCTATACAAATAATAATTTAATTAATTTTCATATAACATGGTCACAGTATGTTAAAATTGTGATTATAAGATTAGCCATAATCATAAAGCCCTAAATACACCTTTTACCGAATGAGAGCATCCTCTTGTGGGCTCAAAATTCTGAACTAGGTACCTGAGTCTGGAGTGTAGGTGAAGCTCTGGGTGTCATGTGATCTACCAGCATTGGTCATCACAAAGATTCCCACAGAAACGGGAGAAGTGATTGACTGGTTGTGGAACGGAGGGACTGTCACTATCAAATGGTTCTGTAAAACAGATTCACAACGGCAATCACATTGTTAGAAAAATCTCACGAAGAGATGCTCAATCAATGATTAATGACAGCAGGGAAGTTTGACACAGTAGCTTATATTATTAAAGGAGAAACAGAAGATTATAAACAACAGTTCAGTTGCATTTACCTGATGGAAAAGGTCCATGTCAATCTTTGCCTCAGCTTGCCAGGAATTATCATCTACAAATAAAACAACAAATATTTTGTTATTCTACTATCCATCAGAGGTTTACATACAGAAACCCATATCTGCACAAATTAGATACAAGGACAACACTGACACCACTGACAACATCAAGCTGGCTAAAGCACCTGCAATGTTCTCTTGAAAAATAACTTTGGTTCCTTTGAGGAAGTTCTTTCCAATTATGAAAACTTCATCTCCTCCTCTCACTGAGCAGCTGTGAAGACTCTTCTTCAGGATCTCTGGCACTCCTGCTGGCTGGGCTGGAGAATGACAGAAGTCAAAGAATCAAAACTCACATGACATCCGGGCTAGTGTTTACCAGAGGGCATGTGGAAGACTGAAACAAAAAGAGAGAAATTGCTATGGTCTGATGAAACTAAATCATCTATTGCCATCATACTAAATGCTTTATTTAACAAAAGCCAGGCACCACAAATCACTGGAAACACTATTCCCCAGCATTAAGCTTCATGATGCCTCGTGGTGCCTGTAGCTTAAAGGCTTAAATATACTCCCAAACGGATGCATAGACGGACAGCTGCGACACCAAGGCCATGCAGTAGTTCTGTTTATACTACTCTCTGCTTGGAGGTTATGTTCCACACAGGGCACAAGGATGTCTGCACAGAGCATACACGTACACCTTGGACAATATTGATCCTCGTGGACACATAAATCCTGCTTTAGATGTGAAATGTGACTGTTCTTCTTTCAGTTCAGGTTGTGCCTGAACTACTCACTGCAGAGGATGGGTGATGAAGGGACCTGTAGAGTAAGTACAGATCCATCAGGTTGGGGAATGCCGACTCTGAAGGCCAGTCTGGCGCGAGTGCTCTTCTTCTTGGACCCTGCCACACCTATACGGGCCTCCACATCTGCATTACGCAGCTTCAAAATTCCTACACAGTCCACCCTGTGTAAACAACACAGGATGGAGAATACATGACAAGCACAGTTAGTACTTCTTAAACATCACAGTGTGTAAAAATGTAACTGATCCCAAGTCATCCACAAAACGCCATAACCCCTTACGCAAGTGTCATGTCATTGCTGGGCTCCAGGGGGATCTCAATAACAGTGGTGCCCTCTATGTCCACTTCCTTGCAGGCAGTAGTGTTGCGTCCCGTCACTCTGCACGCCTGGTAGAAACCGTGAGGTTTGACTCTGCCTGCATCGTTCGCTACAAACACCTGTAGCACAACTGGTTCACTCACACCCTCCAACTGGGGACAAAAGAAGGAAAAAACTAAGATATTGTGTACAAATAACTTGACCTTTACTAAAAAATAGAAAACATAACACTATAAAGAATATTGTTGTTTTATGCCCAAAGCATACCAGTCATGGAGTAATTAAGAAATGCATAAAAAGTAAAGCTGCCACAAAAAAGAGCCTTATTACTGAATTAATGGCAGGTGCTATTTCCTCACTTCCCTGCCCAGAAGTATCAATAACAGGTAAGGATCCTTTATCTGTTTGCCCTGTTAAACTTGTAAAATAAAAAATAAAAGTTTGAAGCAGCTCATGTGCTCATGGGTATTAATGAGTGAATGCGTCAGATGCGTCTGAAATGGTATGAGTATTCGTATGTGGCACACAGTACTTAGAGCTTCTTTTTGCCTTATGCAGTCAATTTGAATTTAGGTGTATTTCCTGTGTCAAGAAGCAGTCAGTGGCTTTCTTTGTCCAACCTTGACAGTGGGGAATCCCTGCTGTGTGCGGTCTTTGACAGACCCTCTGCTGCCTTCTGTCAGATAGCGGGCTCTGTGCTGGGTCTCTGGCTGCACCAGGATCTTTAGCTCCTTCCCATCACTCCTCTGGGGGAACTGAGTAGACAGTGACCCACCTTTCACTGCAGTCCCTGACTCAAGAGAGCTGCTGGGCAACAAAAATCACATGATGACATTAATATGACTTCAAGAAATTCTATTACCCCAAAAACTAAATTAAAAGGCCTTTTCTGTATTCCTGGACAGATATTCTGTGAAACAGGATCACCCCACCTGGCTATGGGACTGGTCTTGTCTGTGCCCAGCTGGGATAGGACAAAGTGAGGGGCCTTGGCACTGTCAGCATCAAACACATCCATGCTGTCCTCCAGAGGAGCAGGCTTGGGGCCAGGCCGCTGACGAGGGGTGCGTTTTCTAGACTTGCGCGGCACCTCTGTGTTGTCGTTGTAGGAGATGGAGCTGATCAAGCTGAAGTTGGAGACGGAGTCATCAGCCCACATGCTGCTGCTATGCTCAGAGTCTGGACCTGGTGGACCAGCTACAGTAGGCTCCTCTTGGCAAGACATCTGGCTGTCATCAAATAGATCCTCAGGTGGCGGGGATATGCTCAACACAGGCCTCCGTTTTGATGGGGTGTTCTGAAGCTGCTGGACTCCCAGCCCTGACAACACTCCTGACCCTATGTCTCCTGTTGCAGTGTTTGCTCCACTGTTGCCTCTGCTGGGGGCAGATACAGCACCCTCCATACTTTGCATCTCTGAAGCTCCAGCTCCATCCCCTCCGGTGGAGTGGAGATGCTGGGGAACCTTGAGATGGTCTGAGGATGAGGTAGAGGAGCCAGTGGATGGGACTCCCATGGCCAGGGAGGAAGAGGCAGAGGGGCTGGAGGTGGAGGATGTGGCATCTGTAGTAGTATATACAGATAAATAAGTAAGTACAGATGTTCAGCACAGAGCAGGCTAGCAGTCCCATTCAAGCAGCTGAATTTGTGCATGATTTGTATTGATTTCCCCTCTTCCCAACTCTAATTTCAACAGACTATTGTGGGTTATGTGCTCTCACTGTGCATGCGAGAGCTGTCAAGCATTGATCAAATATTCTGAAGTTAAAGTTGAGAAGGGTACTATAGGTCCCACAATGTTTTGATTCCTACAAAACCTTTCTCAATTAAAATCAATGTGACAAAACTGACATGCTTTGTTTACAAAAACAAAAGCAAGCTACAAATTGTTACATACACATTGCCAGAAAGAAACATAACAAAATCTGGTCAAACTTTCTTGTACAGCCAAATTTGCAAGCTGGTAATGTGGCGCCAAATTAAATTTGCCAGGGTTACAGTACAGTTTGTGCAATGTGCATTCAGTAGTAAACAGTAGTTTGCGCATGCCAATTGGAAGATTTGGTTGGGACTGAGCGTAGCCATGGAGACAGAATAAACAAGCCTCTGACCTATGGAGCAGTGAACTGCAGACCATTTTATATGCAGACACTCCCTGCCTCAGAGGGAACTTCCTGCAATAAAAACGAGACAGCCAATGAGCAACAAGAGAGCTGATCATTCAAGATTCAACTTCTGTCAATCAGTAAATTGGATGAGTTAATACACTGAAGGAAGGAGTAACTTTTGAAGTTGATCATTTCTAGACACTTTGAAGCATGTGTATTTGGTTAATGATGATCTGAAGGACATTACAGTAGTCATGCTTTTGATCAGCACTGCTTAAGGCCAGCTGGGTCAGACAGGATAGTTAAAAGGTAGCATTAACAAAAGCGCTCTCTTCCAACATGACTGTTGATCAGTTAGTTTGCTGTCTAGATGAAACTCAAGACTAGAATCCTTCACAGTTTATTGGCTGCCCTGAACCATGATCCAAGATCAGACTATATTCCTTTGGTTTGCAAAATGATATTTAAAAAAAGACAGTCCAACCATTGTTAGGGGCAACTTCACTGTTTCATGAAGAGACAAAACCTTCCAAATTTCTGAGAATGTCGCTTTGAAAGTTGCTTTGAAACATGGGAGTAGATTAATCGTGTAGCCTACTGTTGTATGAGTATGTAAAAGAGTATGTTTCAGTGACAAATGTGCATAGGCTGTTTCTGCTTTAGGCACTTGTTAAGGCATTTAAAACGAAACGAAACGAAAGAAAGTAAGTGTTAACACACAGACACTGGAATGCCATATAATGTCATAACATGAGGGATGTCTGAGATGATTAGTTAAGCCAAAGGACAATAGTGGATCAGCAGCACTGGTTATGATGCATGGGTTTTTGCTGCATCTCTAAAGCTGGACCACTTAAATATATTTCTAACTGCCTAAAAAGCAGAGTGAAAAAAAAACACATTAAAGCACAAGCAGGGTAAAGTGCTGCTGAAAACAAAAATGAATGAAATGAGAAAGAACAAGCTATGTTAGCATGCTGTTAATGCAAACTCAACATTACTTTGAGCTGTTAGTCAGAGCTTTCCAGGAAAAGAGGACTGTGTATGACCTTTATTACATAGGCACTATTTCTGCCACTTGCATTGTATAGATTAGTTAGATATTAACTGAATTAGAAGCTGGTCTAAAACTACATTTTAAATACATCTGTTTTCAATCAATTAGTTGTATTAAGTGAAGAGCTGCAGGCACTTATTGCAGCTGCTGTGAATATCAAAAAGGCCCAACACACAAAGCCAAGGTAAGCAATGCCTCTTCCCATGCTGCTAGGATTATAAGAGAAGATGTTTGTCCCACAAACATCTAAAGTATTGAACAGGGAAAACTTACTGACACAATGACACATCAGGTATCCACTAATGGTGGTTACTTTAATACAGCACAATAATGGGAAATTTGAAAAACCATCCATTTGAGTCCATCTGTTAAAATCTGTTTTAACACTCCGCCCCCTACCCTCAGTTGGCACTACCATAGCCTTGTGGAACCAGCAAAGTCCCTGATATACCCGAGTGAAATCTAACATGACTGTGCCTCGTCTTGCCTGCAGTATTAAAATACCTTAGGAATCTCAAATATTAATTGTCTCATAAATTGGTGAAAGGGTGAAGTTGCCCCCAGACACTGATACAAGGCCATGTTAGTTTCTTCTCCCCTACTGTTTTGGGTAACAGTTTGGGCAAGGGGAAACTGATCCCAGATCATGGTTTTCATGGACTGAGCAGGTAGCTCACCTGAGGCCAAGGCTGCAGAGGGGGGAGGTCCCGCCTCTCCCCCACTCTTCTGGCTCATGGTGGCTGGGTCTGTCTGGGTGGACGACGGCTGGAGCTGGAGCTCTTTGGGGAGGAGGTCATATACCGACTCTGTCATAAAGGATGAGCAGGAGAAGATAAATTAGGTTCGGAAAAACATAAATCAAATGTATTGTTTGTTACAGCACCAAGTAACTAGAAAAAGGCTGTCCTCTTTTCACAAGTGGAAAGGTTCGAGTTCAGCAGTTCTGCCTTAAATCTGTTGGTGGAGCCAACTGAAATAAAAAAAACCTTTATGGTAAAATGACTCACCATAAAAGAGGTTAAAACAATATCTGCTTTTGCTGTCAGTTAACTTAAGATGGTTAACAAGTTGAACATCAAGCATACATTAATACGTACTCAAGGGTTCCATATCAGACAGACTGAAGCACAAGATTTGGTACCACTAATAACAGCAAGATGCTGGTTTAAAAAAAATATTCTAACTGTCCTGAACTAAATTCATTAAGACCCAACTTATCTTTTGAAATAGTCAATGTATTTTCATCACAAAAACTGTCAATAGTTGATTTCACTTGTTTTGAGGAAATCCTGTTGGTAATAGCAAAACTACTCCCCTCACCCACATATGTAAAAAGAAAAGAGACTGCCGTCAACACTGACACGACACAGGCTATCTTATGATAAACTAAATTAGCTTTCCATGGAGTTTAATGTAATAAGACCCACTGAGACATTCCTGTATATTTGGTGGTAAGAGGTTTCCTAGAAGACTATAAACCAACCACAGCAGCTACAGTGGAGTACATTTGATGGCAGATAAACACATTATTAGGTAGTCTGGTTGCTAAGAAACAGCGATCCATCAACACCCTGACATGGATATTTCAGCTGTGCATCGGCAGCTCCCAGCATGTGTAGTAGTCATCTGATACTCAGCTATGACTTGGCACCAGCAGAATGGTCAAACTGACAGGACACATGATCTCGCAGTTCTGTGACGTGAACAACGCTGTTGGGGGAGTGACAACACAAAGTCACCAGAGTTCACACAAAGATCTACACAGTGCTCTGGTACACAGACAGGCAAACATTAAAGCATTGAGATGGAGGCTATCTATTGCTTATCCAGAGTGAATCTCTCTTTATAGGATAGTTCCCTCAAAAATACAATAAAACTTGTTTATCCATCTAAAGGGCTTGAAGATGTAGCCTGCAGCAAATCCCATTACAGCAGAGCTGAGTGGCATTAGGTTTGTGGTGGCAAAGTAACAAAACATTACATTTGTCATGAGCAGCTTTCTTTCCAAATAGAGTTGTGATAATTCACAGATCTTGTTGTGAACAGTGTCCTGTGCAGACAGAAAAGTAAAAAGTGTCTCTCAGTGAAACAGTTCGCAGTGAGATCTGTAGACTATTGTCAGTAACAATGTCATTCTGAGAGAACTTTCACTTTAACAGTGTTTACACAACTTTGAAATAGGATACCAAACAAGAGATCTATATAAACCCAGATGAAAACAGCCCATATAATGACCTTTAATGTGCTCTTGAAGCAAACAGCAAAGTGTGCATAATCCTCACTAGAGCCCTCCATCTGTGTCTGTTGTGCTTTGTTCATGGTGTGAAAATAGAGTCTTTGTGCATGGCTGTATTACAGATTGACTGGCAACCCAACATGACCTCAGTCTTGACTATTGGCCCTTTCACAAAAGGAGATGTGTATATGATGCAAGTCTACTGAATGTGTGTTCAACCCCACTGGAACCCATTCATATGCAATGAACAGCATTCACATATGAACGAATGTCATCACCTTTCACACACTAACACGACATGTAGTGCAGTAGTGGGTCACTGCATACATATTTCTGATAGAAAATTGAAATATGTTACATAATGAAGACAACTGGGCATCTTCACAAGCCGGAGGGGAGGGGGGTGTCACAAAGCCAGGTTGGAAGACATGCATCATAATGCATGTCTGAATAGGATATAAGTTACTCACTCTCCCCGGTTACTTGCAGGTCACAGAGCAAAGCAGCACAAACAGAAATATACAGTTGAATTTTATTTTCAATACAATTCTGTAACACATTTTAACAGTCTGTAGTTTCTGCTTACACATATTTCCCTATGCTCTTAACAGGACCATTTTGTAAGAATTCACAGCTGAGCAGATTAATCTGAATTTTGCACCATATGAAAATATAACATTGACAAGGACAAGTCATACAGAAACAGGATATGCTCTCAAGTGGTGTAAAGCTCCATCGATCTGAATTGATGTATGGATTCAATGATCAATCTATAGATCATGTTAAAGAAAACATTACACCTTTACTTTCGAATTCCCTTGGCACGTCTCTGTCGCTGTGTCCATCCAAGCGCACCTCATTCCTAAACATTCAAACAGTAACTGTACAGCATGCTGCCATTGGTTATCACTGTTTTCATTTCATTTTTTATGAAGGATGTAACAACGCTTCCGGAGGTTTAACTCGTCGTCAGCTGAGTTTCCAACATGAGATTTTATCTCTGGTCTGGTTCCTGGTCCCACTGACTTGAACCAAATGAATGAACTGAATGAACCAAGAGGAGTAAACATGAAGTTACAGTTTTGATGATTGTCATCCTGCCTCATTAGCACCCATGTAGGAAAACTAAATTGTAATCACTAACAGAAGTTTATGTACCACTTTAAATGTTTTTTGGTGTCACAAAGATTATTTCATTATTAGTATGCAAATCAACTGCATGTTATGAAGAATGACGTACAGACAGGACTAAAAGTAGGCATAATTATTCAGGAATTATTACTGTGGGGTCGATCACACCAACCCAAACGAACTGCACTAATAAGGAAAATACACCAGGGTCCGTTTTAACCAAACAGGTTGTGTGTGAAAGAATCCTAAAAGAGTGCCTGTGACTAAAAGTGAGTATTCCTGACAGTAAAAAAAGACAGTTGTATACATGCTTACATCACTGTATTGTAGGCCTTAGTTAACTCTTAACTAGTCGCTCATAAGTCAAGAGTTTCTGGTATAAGTTATAACTTATGGTAGGGCTGTGCTGCTGCTAGGAGCGACCAAAAGTTAATCTTGGCCACAACAATACTCTGTTGTTAAGATATCCCAGCAGGTATTAACTGTGAGTCAGAAAAGGCATAATAACTTTATTGTTTGCCTTGTCTGAAGGGAGGTTGTGATCAACCAGGCAGTAAGGGTGAGAGATTTTTCTGTTTCACATAGACAACCCTGTTGGACTGCTGGGAACTGTCTGTTTTAACTCTTCTCTCCCCAACTATTGCCATTCAAACCGGTTACTGACTGCTCATATTTGTGACTTTCAAGACAGCAGTTACACTCAGCTGTCCCGGTTGTCATGTAACTGGTTATGTTAAATGGGCATACAATATCTACCATGTATTGTAGGCTTCTGAATTGAATTTGTATAGTGAGGTAAGCTAATAATCCAAAAAAGGATATTGTTTTAACATACTGACAGGACACATGCGCTAATTTATAAAGCCCTTCACGGGTAGCAAGGTTGCTTTTCAGTCTAGTAGTGTAGGAGGTTCTCCAACCTGAAAATCAGGGAAGTAACACTGAAAGCGTAACACTCCTAAAATGTACTACTTCATAGTTTTAGCTTGTTTAAAATATTCTCAGCAATCCCACTAATAGGAAACCTACCCAAATGGATCAATGTTACCAGATGAGGGGCATTTTATAGCGTCAGTATGGGGAGGAGGACCATTAAAGTCAATGACAGATTACTTTGATTGTCTGCCATCTGTCAGTGTGTTTGTTTACATGTGCACTGATAAGTTTAGTGTAGTCACATATTACATTTAGTCTAAATCTATTATACACATAAGGTTGATAATCAGTGCAAGCACAAATTGATTACCATGCATTGTTGCTCAATCATTCTGGGTTATTTGTGTATGTAAATGCATAGTCTGCATTTCACTCTGTGTTTTGAATTTACTTGCGCCAGACTCCCCAAGTACTGACAGGATGCAAAACCATATTTGTATACACAAACTGTGGCGTGGCTTGTGTGTGTGTGTGTGGGGGGGGAATTAAAGAAGATCAAATCAATACTTCTGGTAACACACCCTCCTGAGTATAAACAAATGTATGTTTTATTGTATTAATTGTTGTAAAACAGCTGTATACAGAATGGACAACAATCACAATAATACGCAGGACGAATCAGACGGGTTGGTGCTCACTTTTGGTACTTGATGGTTATTGATATTTCATTCTACCGTCACATTACGTTTGGGACTCAAACATTGTTGAGCTTTGATACAAAGCTCTATTCACCAACACTTAACACTATAAAAGTCCTTTTTCCCCCCCTTCTCTTATTTTATGGACAGAATATGGTGCTTTCTCTAGGGTACCACACGTCCTCGTAGTACACAACAGACTAAACACATTATATCATTTGTTTTAAGAGAAATAGAGAAATGGGCTTTCTGGGAACTGGTTTGATTGTCGGGGAAAAGATTCAGAAAGTTAGTTTACAAGAGAAAATAAAAGGTTAGTCTTGACTCAGGTAAATCTCGTTTGAAGTGTGTATCTTCCCACTGCCCCCAACAAGCACACTGGACACTGATAATGTTCAGGGAATGGCTTTTGATGTTGGGCTCCATTAGCTTTTATAGAAGTCAGATGACATCTGTACAAGTTTATGTGCACAGCTCTGCAAGCTTGTCGGAGCAGAGTATGCCCAAAAAAGTAGGCTGCAAAACTCTAGCCAGCCAGGGGGCGGACTGACTTTAACCTACACTTAGAACAATTAAATTACCTCATCTCATAGTTATGCATGGCTCACATTACACATGCCTCAAAAGGTTTTGCCAAATGGCAAGGCCACTAGTCCATTTTTATTCTTTGCAGCTGGCTTGGGGCTAAGATGGGGGATGACAGATGAATAGACAATTCACGAGGGCGATGTTTTTGTTGCAAATGAAAAAATATGCAGACCAAGAATGTATCTCAGTGCCCAATAATGGCTGCTTTAATTACACTCTTGAACACATAACGATATGCTCAAGCCAGTGTACAGACAAAGGAGCTACTCACTGCACTCAAACCACAAAGAATGCCATTTTTGGCTATTTATACCATCTCTGTTTACCTTGAAACTGAATTATACTGGCAAGAAATGGCTGGATACTCTATTTGAGTCTCCATGTGCCTGCTTATGTAGCCCGAGATGAATAAACCAGATGAGTGGTTTCAACATAAGATATAACCCAGTTACAACCATGTACTTTACATTTCCCCCAAGAGATACAGTTATTCATGACATATGTATTTTGACCTTTCTCACACAAGCTTTGTACAAGTCATCCTTGCCTAAATTAACCACTGGCTAGGTGCAGTGAATACACAATCACAAACATCCAGATGTGGATGTGTCAATAAAAATAAAAATTACGAGGCAGCTTTTAAAGCATCATTACCAAGGCGGACTTTCAATCCTTCTCATATGTCTCAGGTGACTGCAAACAGAGCCTAATGGATGCATGCAACTCCGTTCAAGCGCAATGAAATAGAACAGAACAAAAACAAATTCAGATTTCATGTTCACGATGATGAATTTGCAGGGTGGTTCTCATATTGTACAAACATTTATGACACACAACAAAAGGCTTGTTCTGGAGCTGAGAAAACAAGCCCTGGTTTCTCCTCATACAACGATTCACAAATATTTTCTTACATACCGCAAGAGGTATCTACCCAATGCGGATGGTGGCGGATGTAAGACGTTTTTCCTCTGCTGACTGAGACTTAACTTTTTGGATTATTTATCTATCTAAATGAAAACACTTTAAAGAGAGAGCAGGATAAGATAATCACATTACATTTAGGAAAGTAAAATATTAATGTTGTCCAACAGAAACCCTTACAGGTCCCGTATGAAACATTTAGGAGAATCTATTGGCAGAATGGGAATATACTATTCATAGGTATGTTTGCATTCATTTATAAACACCTGAAAATAAGATTTGTTGTGTTTTTATTACCTTAGAATGGGACGTGTTTCTACAGTAGCCCAGAATGGACAAACCAAACACTGGCAATAGATAGGATCTTTCATGTTTTTCATGGCCACTGTAGTTTCTCCTACACACAAGGTATTACAATCAAAACATGGGATGCAGTAGGAATATTTATGTAATAAAATCTGACACAATTAAATAATTTGCAACTGAGTCATGAGGTTCCCAGCCATAACGTCTTGTAGCCAGACTGAGTAGGTGTTTATAATTTCCTTTCAATGTATATTTTAAACACAATGCCATAAAAAGATCTGTCATGTGTGGCCATTCTGTAACTAATTACGTGGTGTGAACATTTCTTTTGTAATATATATGGCTGACGGTATTGCATTCAGACCCTTATTTACATTGACACATAGAAACATAGCATCAAATCATTAGTTTCAGTTACAGTGTTGGAAGATATACAAATCCTAGAGATGCTTTCTCATGCATCTGCTAAAAGATTAATAATTATAATAATTATTTATATTAATATTTATTTTCCACTTTAAAGAGAGTCCAATAGGTCACTACTGAGGGTTCACGTTTGGCTCATTTTGAGCCAAAAAAAACCATGACCAGCCAAACCCAACATGGCCAGCTGACCCCTCACTGACTTACAGTCTGATATACTGTAGGTGAGGTCAGCCACTATATCTTTGATGGGCATGTCTGCTAACTTGACCCCAATGTGAGCACACACACCAGAGATATAAATAAACAGTCACCATGTGATACAGTGACCATATGGCAGGCTCAACTGACAATTTCAGGGTCACAGAGCAACACTTTCTGCTAACTCATGAGCACCCTATACATATCAGCCAGTATGGGTGGCCAATCTGGACAAAAAAATAATAGCATTAACTATTTAAAGGCCCAGTGTGTAACTTTTATGAGGATCTAATGGAAGAATATGGAATATAATCTGAATAGGTTTTCATTCGCCAGTCTTACAGTAAAATGAAAATAAGAATTGTGTTTTCATTAATTTCGAATGAGCCGTTTTTAATCTACAAAGAGAGCGGGTCCTCTTCCATGTTGAACCGCCATGTTTCTATAGTTGATCCTTTAGTTGCAGTCACACTCTAAAATCCACGTTGCAATCTGTTTTCTCAACTTTGAAGCCACATGAATTAATTTGTTCAATGAGCACTGCCATCTAGTTGGCTGCATCGGATCCACTAGTCAATGAGGTTAAGTGACGTTTAGAAAAAACAGGTAAGAGGACATTAAAAACAGCAATCTCTGGGATTCGCCTGAAAAGCCAAATGTAGACACCTTAAATCAAATCAATCTAAAACCTTCAGATTGCCCACCCCAACGACAGATTGTATTGGGTATATGTGCTACCTATTAACCACTAAAGATCAAAAATATGGACTACATCTAAGAACAGGGGGTAAACTAACACAGGAAGCCCTGCTATCCATCAGTGCCCCAGCAAAATGCACAAACCCATGCATCTCAAATTACCCCTTTAAGAGCAGCACAAAACATACAGGACTTATGAATAAGCAATAGTCTGATAGCTGCTGCCAGTGTTGTGTGGCAGATTCACAGACATGTGAAGTTAATACAGTTGTTAACAGGGAGGAAATTAACCTGCAAAGTGCTGCACATTATGCACTAACGCAGCTGACCACAACTAAAGTTAAAAGCACAAACAACACCCCCCCCCTCAAATAATAACAACATAACAGCTGACTGACGTGTGTACAAAGCTTATTACAGACAGAATACATGATGGCACCAGTGGCCCTGGCCCCTGTGAAGCCTACAGGGAGTATGACATGACCAGAAGCTTGGAAGTGTCTGTAACTACAATCTTTATGTGTAATCGGATAATGTGAGGAGGACAACTCTGGCTCACATCCACCCATAGACCAAAACAACGCTCCAACACGGGGCTACTACACCAAAGTAAACCACAAAGAGGGTAAACAAAAACAACATGCGTGTACATTTTAGACTTCCTCTCGGGATATAAGCTAACACACACACACACACCCTCTCTCTCTCTCTCTCTCTGCAGAAAGACTTTTAAGTACGATAATCCACGGAACAATGTGGTGGCCGAAAAGCGACCTCACGATACTAGCCATCAGCCCGCTACATATAAACACACAAGGACAAATCCAATCACATCGATCCGATCAGACAAGCCACCTAACCTTATCGTGGTCGTCTACGCATGTGACATGGACAAGCTAACCAGCCAGGTAGTCGCCAATGCACAAGCCCAAACGCAGCTAACTTGAAGCTAGCAAGGCTGGCTAGCAGCAGAAAAGAAGCTAGCTGCTGCGAGCTAGCGGCTTAACGTGAGGCATTAAGACACTCGTGACAGATAGAAAACGGGTTAGTGTCGCCACAGGAGCTTTTATTTAGTAAAATCTTACCTTTTGAGTATAGAGATTTGGGGGAATTGAGGTCGAGATCCGAGCTAAGGAGGGATATAAAATCAGAGGGCATCGCAGCGCTTCATCGAGGGGAGGGGAAGCGGACACTCTTTGGAAGAAACGAAGTCGCTTTTTTGGGCCAATGAATATTTTTTTTTTTTTTTTTTAACAAGCGGAATGTTTTAATACACAGAGTATAACATCGAAACAGACTCAAGGCGACGAAAACAAAACTTCCAAATGCCAACAAAAAAAAAACCGTTAACTGGCACGTCTCACGTTAAGTGTGTGTGTGTCTTTGCTGAAGAGGGAGACACATTTCGTGGTGCTAAGTTGAGACGAACACACAACTACACACTTGCCTGTTAGTGGGCCCACCTCCTGGCCCCTCCCCTTTTTTATGTATGGGCATGCGCAGTGGGCCGCTGGAGCTCCAATGGTGTTGTCTGTGTTATTCACTTTATGGTTGTTTGTGTTTATATATATTTTTTTATTTTATATGTTATTTAGCCCCTTCAGACCCTGTGTCCTAGTGATGGGAATTCCGGCTCTTTTTAGAGAACCGGCTCCTTTGGCTCGGCTCACTAAAAAGAGTCGGCTCTTTCGGCTCCCAAGTGGCTCCTCATATTTTTTTTTTTACTTAAATTAATTTATTACCAAATTATGTGTAAAATGAATATCTAATGTAAATACATGCTTTATATCAAATGTTTAGTATTTATATGGATTTATTAATACACTCAACATGGAACAGTGCTACAATAATAAATTATAAAACACAAAAACAAAGACCCATCTTAATTAGACAAAAAGCCGCTTGATATGAAATGTTTAACTTTGCACAGTCTACACTCTGCCTTCGAACTATCACATTAAAATGTGTCCAAACTTTACTACGTTTCCTGTCACTCATTTTCCTCGCCCTTTCCAGTGTGTAGTCTCTGTCTATGTAGAGCCAAGGTCTCTCGCTCTCAGGTCTCCCTCCCACCTGTTCACGTGCTCCCTGTGCCGTGTGTGTCTGTAACCCCTCCCTCCCCCTCCTGCTCAGTGTAGATACACAGATGCCGCCACACATCTTGACCAATCACTCGGCTTTAACAGGAAAAAACGGGAAAATCTGGGAAAAAAATCCGGATCTGGCTCCCAATCAGGAGCCGGCTCTTAGAGCCGGATCGTTTGCGACCGACCCGTCACTACTGGGTCCATTACAATGGACGTCACTTGACAAGGGCTTCTTTTTTAGTTTTTGCAACATTTAACAGACAAAAAATAGGTATGATGTTGTCATATGATGTTGGTGTTTTAAGAATTGTTTGGACCCGATGTCCATTGAAATGGACATGAAAAATAACAATTAAAGGGTTTTGATTAAAAAAAAATGTTTTATTGATTCTCATTTCTGGTTGCATTAAGGATGGGAAAAAGTCATTATTATATTTTTCACAACCTTGGAACATAAGGCGGGTCTGAAGGGGCTAAGATAGACGCTCATCCTGTAGGAGTCTTTAGGGTTGTCTTGCCCTTTTATGGTTATATTCTGGTAAGGTAGACAGGTAGTATAGGCTATATATATATATCTCCTCATAGAAGGTTTCTGTGTTTTAGCCTTTATAAAAAAAACTGTACTGTACATTTGCTAAATCTACTCCAAGCCAAATACTGTATGTAAGTATTGACAGCATATAGGCCACTGGTGGAACAACTATTCACATATTTAACTTAAGTAAAAGCAGCAATTTAAAAATAAAAATATGCATTGAATATCTTACTTTGGTATAAATACAACAAGGTGACAAAGTAAAACTAGGCTACTGATTATGCAGCAGAATGGGCGATGTTACATTGCATAATGTTTTATTTTTTGATTATTACTGATTCTAATGTTATTACAGGTATGTGGAGCTAATATAAATTACACGTTTGTTTAAACTGTTTGTATTTGTATTTGTTTAAAATCTTTATCAGCAAAGTAACTCGTAAACATAGCTGTCAGATAAATGTAGTGGTGTAAAAAGTAAAACATTCCCTTCTGAAATGTTGTTGGAGTGCAAGTATAAAGTAACATAAAGCAACATAAAAGGGAAATACTGACTGTGTACAAGTACAAGTGCATCATACAGTACTTTACAGCTTTATGTTAACATTACAGAACATCTCCCATTGAGTGTGAGTGAGTCAATTCATGACCCTGAAAATGGTATTTAGTAAAAAATCAACAGTGCAAACTCCACTGGTGCAGCCGGACAATGTTGTAGTTTTCCTTTCACACATGTAGCCTAACGCTAAACCTTAGACACATGGGCGCTGTGGAAAAGCTCACTGATGGACACACCATAACAGCTGAATGTCACAACTCATAGTCAACGAGCGGCTGCAATGAGAACGAGCAAGAGCATAACAGTCAGAGCCATCATTGGCCTTCCCCTCTGTGTCCCAGATTGCCTCAGCAATGGTTGTCTGCTTGAGTGAGCAGTTTCTCTTATTTCTGTGAAGGACAGGGAGAGCGGTCTCTACTGTTTATATTTCACAGCTTCCAAGAAAACTTGAAATATGAGTCACTTGCATGCTTCTTCTATATGCTGACACTTGTTCAACAGGGCAACTGGTTTAGTAATCGACTGTGAAGACGCTTACTTTCATTTTGGTTATTGCAAACAGACTCTTCCTCCGGCTCCAGTTTCCCTGTCAGTGTGCAATGATGAGCATCTCGTAGCTACTCACTTCCTCCCCAAAACTGTGGAGCAGCGGTCAAGTGCTAATGCACTAAAACATTGGGAATCTTCTGTTATGTAAATCATCATCATGGCACTGTCACAAGAATGTAGGATGTTTCAGACGGTGCAAATTGTGCAGAGCTTAAAGCAGTGGTTGAATTACTACACAAGGAAAGAGGAGTGGCAGAAGTGGAACTCAAGAAAGTAGCCCAGAGTGCAGAGCAGCTACTCTCGGATTACGTAACAATGCTGCCACTCATTTGTGAGGATTTTTATTTATTTATTTATTTTTTATTTATTTATTTTGCACAGATTAGAATTACATTAAAACGACAAAGATAACAAATAATGTAAAATGCAGGGAGAGGCAGAAAACCCAGATGGGCTTATTTAAAGCCTCTACCTAAAATTTCATAATTATAAGTAACAGAAAATTGACATACAGAGAATATTATAACTACATAAAGTAAAAGGATGAGCGAGTAGAGACTGGATAAAGCTTCTTTGTATATGGTTATGTGGCCCTCACTGCTACAACTTTCTATTTTAAACTTATTTCTAAACTCCAAATCGAGATCAGATTTTCATGCCATTTGTAAGATATTGTGGGTATACATTTCTTTGGTTAGGGGTCATTAGTAGCAGGTAACATCAGAGGTTTATCAGGCTGATTAATAATGAAGTTCAATTTAATATAAAATACTTTATTCTTCCTTCTAGGAGTAATTTAAGGAACGCTGATTTGCAAATACATAAAGACACAAACAAACAAATGACAAACAAAAATAAAAAAAGTTGTGTCCAGAGGCAGCATCTGTTTATTTAGTTATCTTGGTGGTGTGTTAGTACCTGGTTCAGAGTGCCTTATGTCCTATACTATAGATTTAAAATATTAAAGTTTCTAAAGCAGTGGTTCACAACCTCTGTGTCGGTAGCTCCATTAGGGGTCGCCAAAGCATCATAGAGGGGTCGTGAGGCCTTCTTGATTTTAAGGGGTCAGCATATCTCAGCGTTTCATCTAATGCTGTGAAGAAAACTAGATTATTATTTTTTTTGCTGCTTAGATATGATTGTTAAAAAATAGAAAATATATTCAGAGAATTGTATAAAAAAAACCTCAAATCTGATGTGATATTTACAGGAAATAATCTGGTGGTTAATCCAAACCCTCAGTTATTGTGTTCACTATTGTACAGTTAATATATAATTATATTATAAGTACAGTTAATATATAATTATATTATAAGTACAATTAATATATAATAATATTATAAGTACAGTTAATATATAATAATATTATAAGTACAGTTAATATATAATTATATTATAAGTACAGTTAATATATAATAATATTATAAGTACAGTTAATATATAATAATATTATAAGTACAGTTATATATATTTTATTATAAGTACAGTTAATATATAATTATATTATAAGAGAATATATAATTTTATTATAAGTACAGTTAATATATAATTATATTATAAGTACAGTTAATATATAATAATATTATAAGTACAGTTAATATATAATTATATTATAAGTACAGTTAATATCCATAAAAACATGTCAGGGGTCGTCAGTTTACTCAATGATAGAAAAGGGTTTGTAAACAACTCCTATGAGGTATATATTTATTTTATTTAAACTTGTTTGACATTGATAATGCGTTTAAAATAACAACTGACACGGACGTTGCTATCGCAACCCGCCGAACGGTCCTTCAGACTCAATTTCCCAGAAGGCAGTTCGGCCCTCGTCACCATGTTGTCGCGGAAGTGCCGGGGAGCACTGTTGGTAATTCTTTACTCTGACAGCTGCATTCATCCTTCAGAGCAGATATTGTGTTTGTAGCGGCCACAGTTTACGTGAGAGAAACAACAACAACAACAACAACAACAACAACAACAACAACACACGAGTTATGGCAGCACTGAAATACGCAGGTATGGACGATACAGACAGTGACGATGAGTTACCTCCAGGATGGGAAGAGAGATCTACGAGAGACGGTTGGGTCTACTATGCAAAGTGAGTGAAAGCCCTTTAGTTAACAGTGGACACCAATATGTCTGTGTTCAGGAGTTTAGCTTGGGCCCCTTTCACATGTCTCGATGAGACTGTGACTGTGGTACAGTAACGTTGGCTGCAGTAGTATGCAGTGATGTTAGCTGCGGTGCTGTAGCTCAGAGGTTGTGAAATGAGAGTCTTCACTTCACTTTACTTTGAATATAAAATGTATGGAAATGTAAAAGTTTGGTTTGTTAGTGGAGAAACAGCAGTGCCAACATGGTGTGTGCTTATTTCATCTTGATCTTCACACCAATGTGTTTCATTGATATGTTAGAGGAGTAGACATAGAAGAGCTGGTTTGCATGCCTTAGCCCTATGTGATGGTTGTGTGTCTGCTTGTTTCCTTGTATAAATGTGTTTCTGGGTCCTAAGTGTGTGAACATTTTTATAGTCCTTTGAAATGATTGTGTGTGTGCCTTTTCTACAACAGCTTTTTATCAGGTTGTGTTTGAATTGTTCTGTATACTGTATGTCATTTAATTTCACTTTTAATGTGACATAAATCAACCAAGAAACTGCAGATGAAAACAAGCTTTTATGCTCTCTCTCTCTCTCTCTCTC